TACTGGTATGACATAAGATTTGCCTTCTACAGCACCAAGTAAACAAAAAACATTTTATTAGCATTTCATCCAATTGATTGCACTCTGTTTTGGCCTCCATCAGCTTCTGGAATTCTCTGCTGAGTTCTCCCGCTTGTAGCTAAATGTCCGTCAGGTGTTTGGTGCAGAGCAGCTGGCGAGGTGTGAGTTTTGAGAGGCTTTTTGGCTGCCAGCTTTGACAGCAAAGAGGACGGCCATATTTTAAAAGCAAACTATGAGCTAAAAGAAGACTGATTATTTTTCTGAAAGTCATTAAAGCCAAGATTTAACCCATCAATAACAATGTTGCAGCAGAAATGGAATTGTCTTTTGTAATAACTATCTGCTACTCACTCTGTTAAAGCTGCCGTATGTCATGTTGCAACGACCGGTGATTTGACACATCTCTGCAGGAATCACAGATGTAATTAGTACCTTTGATGCTGTCTACATTGTATTTCCAGCTCAACAGCCCAGTTATTATTCAGGCTTACTTATTTGAATGGCTTTGTGGGAATCAAACCATCATAAAGAGGCTTTCTCATCACAAGTGTGATAAATGTACTCGCATGTTTTTATATTTCTGTTCCTTCCTTGATCTGTACATCTCCAGGACTCCCAGTGACGTTCAGGTTAACAAGTAAAACTGCCTGTCCAGGATGTCTGATCTTTTACATTTGGGTCTTTCATCCTCCCCCGTGGAGATTTATCATCTTTACATGCACAGTTTAAAAAGGATTCCTTTGAATCTGAATCTCTTTTATACTTACTCCCACTCCTTCCTGCGGGCTTGTGGCGTGCTCTGTATTTTGTGAGCCTGGTGGGCCATGATGATGTCTTTCTGTTCCACGAGTCCCCCGCGCCGCCGCAGTATGACGTTGGGACTCAGAGACCCTGATCCCTGATCAGACGAGCCCTCGTCCTGACCACAAGGAACGTCGAAACTGGCTGCTCGAGGGGGCAGACCCGGGCTCTCAAGGACAGCATGAGGGACCTGCAGGGAACAGGAGCGAGCTCCTTGTGCCAGGCCCGGTCGAGTGGCGGCGCTGGGCCGCCTCCAGCCCTCAGGCTCAGGCAAAGACAGAGAGGACTGGATGTGAGTGTCTCCATGGCGAGCAGAAATGGGTGGAGAGGGAAAACTGGGTGTGAGGGAAAGGGACAGGGACTGGTTGGATCTGGTGAGCATGTCTCAGGAGCCAGCGGTTCCACTATAACCCTGCAAACAAACGAAAAGGAAGAGAAACAGAAGATGATGGGTGAGAGGTGGCAGAAAAATTAGTGAAGCAGTGCCCAGGATAAATGCTGAACATGCTCTAGGCTCCTTTTGTCTTTGTTGAGCAACAGCAGTTAACCCTTTAAGCGCCAAAGTCGCAGAATTGCGACAAGCAGCAATGTTGGATTTAATAAGCCACAGCAGCAGAAATGAGCCCTCATGCAGTTAATACGTTACACTGCGGGGTGACAGACACCTGTAACTTCAATCCAAGCAGCATTTGTGGGTGTGTTACTATTCAAACTTTTCAAGTATTTAGAATTTGAACCCCGCCCACCAGTCGCAGAGTCACTCAGAGCGAGTGAGAGCGAGCGAGTGGTAGAGGGAAAAAATGCCGAGAGGAATGTTCAGTGCTGACAAAGCTCTTCATCTAGTACTGGCAGATTCGGATTCGGAGGAAGAATATTTCCTTTCCGAGGATGATCTGCGGTCTTCTAGCGAGATGGAAAGCGTGGCTTCAGTGTGCAGCAACAGGGAGTCCGTCAGCAACGACACGGTTACACAAGCAGCCCATCCAGCCCTTATTCCGCGTCGGGCAAAGAGACATGGCGGGGGGGCTCGTACCGGGTCTGATCCTTCGCTCCACCATGCTGGGGGGTGGTGGATGTGGTGAAAACTCCGCTGGTGATCAATTCAGCCCCGGGGATGTAATCCGCGGGAATTGGAGCCAGAGGGGGAGAAACCACGGGGTCAGGGAAAGACAGGTGGCGGGGGGCCTCGAGCAGCTAGTGCCGGGTCTGATCCTTCACTCTACCGTGCCGGGTGGGGGGAGTGGCGGTGATCGGGCCGGTGAAAACTCCGCTGGTGATTGATTCAGACCCAGGGGTATAAACCGCGGGAATTGCAGCAGGAGGAGGAGGAACCGCGGGGAAAAAAATCACTGCTAGCAGGGGGTGGCCCAACACAGCCTCAGTGACAATAATACTGATGATGGCTGGGTTAGTTTGGGAGAAGATGAACAGTATTCCAAGTGGATCAGGCATTTTGATGAGCCAGTTGAATACTGTGGAGACAGGGATCTGTCAAATTCAGAACACATTGATTTTCTGTCAGTTTTTTTGGATGAGGAATTCTGGACCCTCATCACAACTGAAACTAACCGATATGCTCACCAGTATTTAGAGAGGGAGGAACTGAAATCTAGCTCCAGATATAATGACCGGTACGATGTAACTGTCCCAGAAATGAAAGTGTTCATTGCCATTCAGTTCTGCATGGGGCTTGTGGAGAAGCCTGAGATTGAGGATTATATATATAATTAAAAACAAAATAAACCAAAGAAAGGATGAGTGAAAAGTGTTCATGACACTGAAGCACCAAAAACAGTGTTCTTGATTGATACGCAGTAAACATAACAAAATATCAATAAAGTAATAAATATTATGTATATACACACATAGTTATATATGTCTACATAGGAATATATATATATATATATATATATATATATATATATATATATATATATCATAAACAACAACAACACTAAGAAAATAAGACAAAAACATAAAAAAATCTGCAAATGTGATGCAATCCAATACGGCTGCCACCTGATGATATCATAATATGCAAATTATGTGAGTGAATTTGCTCCTATCACAAAATATGGCTCATACAGAAGATTTTTCTAATTTACAATATTCCTCTATCTCTAACCAGATTTAAGCTACAAGCTCTTTAAATAGTGACATAAAAAAATTCATATTTTACTGAAAAAACTATGGCACCTAAAGGGTTAATTTAGGAGATTTGTTTTCATTATTCATAAATTCATCACAACTCCTAAAAATGTTTTTGACTAAAACTTTATAAATTAATTTCCTGTATTGAGACAAACATGTAAATGAAGAATGTTGTGGCCAAATCTAAAACTAATGGCACTCCCACCAGCTTCAGCTGTGCTGTGTGTTTAGCTCTAATTGCCTCATGTTACCATTACATGACAAACACTGCATGCAAGCTGATGCCTGCATTTGATTCATTGCACCAGTACATGTGCAGAAACTTTCACTTCTGCAGACAAGACTGCAGACTCTCAGTTTTGACAAAAAAGAAGCTCTGATTTAACGGCTCATTTTTATTGATTTTGTTCAAATGCTGAAAAATGTAATCCAGACTCCAACCTGGTGGTGCTGGTGACTTAAGGGTTAGCTATTGATTTTTCTAAGGAACGTGTATTGTGCTCTACATGTTCTTAATTTATATCAGAGGTTTTCTCCCGACAGTGCTGCAGCACTTCTTTTTCTGTTTCTGTAATGCTTGGTTTTTTGATTGGTTGTTTAATTGGTCAAAAACTGGAAGATATAGTTACAGAGAAGTTTATTGTTTTAGGTGTCCTCTATCTACACCAGAGTTTCTCAAATATGTTTAAGTCCCATTAACATCACACTGATGAAATTTGTTTTCTGCCTTTAACCCATGTCCCCCAGGAGAACAGTGGGCTGCAGACGAGACATGAGAGCTATTTGGTGGTTTAACCCCCAATCAAACCCCTTAATGCTGAGTGTCAAGCAGGGAGGCGTTGGGTCTCCTTTTCAAAGCCTTTGGTATGGCCTGATTGTGAATTTGAACCCACGATCACACCACTAGGCCACTGAGCATGACATGATGATCTTTAAATAAATACTAACAGAAAAAAAGAACATTTTATTGGCTAAATCTAACTGTAGGGTTTTTGCTCTTTAAATTACCATTAAGGTAGTGTACCTGTGTTGAGTTAATTCCATTCAAATACAATTTTGGGGTGTAAAAAGGGTTCAGCCTTGATTTAGACCCAAAAGAAAACACTTAAGCCATGTTCCTTTTGGTTGCCATGGTCCAAAACAGAGAAAGAATGAAGTAAATATGGTGGCAGAGCTGAAAAACAAGCGAGTTTGCTGTGATCCATGGAAGAGACAGACAAAACAAGGCTGCTTCCATTGAGCTGGAGCTGAAAGGAAGATGACTGTGTGTGGAGGAGCTGAAGCAAAAAGGCTCGGTGACTCACTCACCAGCAGCAGGAGCTCATCAGACATGAACTGGACTCAGTCTGAGCTGAGCTCTGCCCTCCAACACCACGCAGCACATCTCTGAAAGCCAGCAGAGGCTACAAGGTCAGCACACATTTTACTCGGGTGACCTGACAGCACCTTTGTGCTGCTCAGCCGTGGGGCTGACTCTGATTTTATCATGGTCGCGCAAGTTCAAAAGACATATGGTAACTTTCATTACGGTTCTGTTATGTGTTGGGAAATTAAATGGCAAGGTGTTTTAGAGCAGCAGGCACACCTTGAATAAACAGCAGGGGCTGCAACCCAGAGTGGGTCCCTGACATGTGAATGACTAATTGAAACAAAAATAAAAGATACATCAGTGAAGCTGCAGCCTTTCACCTTATCTGTATCATTTCTTAAAGGTAAAACTCTTGTGTGGATATGCTCTTGTTAGGAATTTGAATTTCAGCTCCTGGCTGTGATGCTTTAATTAGTGCAGCCAGTGTAGAGAGCCTGCTGCACAACAGAACATCCCCCCTCTGCTAATTTGTTCACGTCAGCTGCACGTCGGAAATCGCCTTGGAAATGCATTAACTAGCCAGTTAAAAGGTTTTACTATGATTAAGGCATGTACTTAATTCTTGTGGAGTTAAGTGTTTAACGCAAGCAGCGACAACGAGGGAGAGGTTGCTGAAATCCAAATCACCAACAGCACCCGCGACAGGAAGCAAAACATTATCAATTAAATACTGCAATGATCAATTAATCTGATGGTCTTACCTTGAGGTGCCGCGCGCCTCTTCATCCTCAGCGAGTCCACCCCCACCCACCCCACCGAGCAGGTGGATCCTAAATTCAGCCACTCCACTCCTCTGCAGCCTGCCACTCAATCAGCGTGAGTTTGGAGATCAGAGGAAGGTTTTCTCGAGGACTCATTGAGTGCTGGTTACCGCTGCATGGCTATAAATATACCGCGGCGTGGCTGGGAGCCAGCGTGGCACACATGATGCGCGTAAACACGCATGGGGACAAGAGCGACGCGTGGAAACAATCCCAACCATCTTCACAAGCTGGCTGCCGCGATATGAGTCACTTTATGTGGATTAAAAATAAAAATAAATCACGGATGTGTCTGCAAACTTCTGCGAGATTTGTCAGTGTTGTTCTCATCTTTCCAGAGGCAGATGGGGCTGAAATGGACCTGTCCAGTCAAGAAAATAGAGCGCCGCGCAACAGGTATTCATAGGAAACGGCGAATTGGTGGTTTGAGCTGAAATACACCACTCAGGTACTCAAACACGTGTACCACTAGATGGTGGACTAAAGCCACGCACCTGGCAGGGAAGCTTCAGGATCAAAAAGACCAACAAATTGTAAAAAAAAAAAAAAAAAAAAAGACAGACAGAATTGAAAGATAAATATGAGTGATGCCAAACTTTTTATGAACTATTGTGTGTTAGTTAGTTGTTTCAAAACCAATATTTGTGAAAGTATGACTTAAAAAATTATAAATTATTAAAAACACTTACCTAAAAACTCACATGAAGGAGGATATGTGATTTTTTTTCCAATTAGCAGTAAATCAAGTCAAATACAATCAGAAACGTCTAAAACTAAATTCACTGATGTCTAATAAACTATACTTGCACATGATTGCAACACCTATTTAATCAATACATGTATAGTGGTCTCTGCAGAATGAATGCCTTGCAAGTCATAATCAGGGTAAAAAATGCCCAGAAGCGCCTGGATCAGCAGGGACAAGTCTGCTGCAGCCGCCAGCCTCTGATTGGCTAACAGCAACGCAACTCTACCACTGACTCCGTTTGCTCTGCAACGCCTATTTTATCTCCACAAATAACACAAGCCTGCTTGTGCCGTGTGGTTGACTTGCTAATGCTAACGGTTACCTTCTGTTAGCTGAGATGTTTAATATTGTGTCCTGGACGCTAAAGAAAACAACTGCCTTCCCCATCACGAACCAAGATTGCTAAGACCAAGACATATATCTGTCAGGCTTTTCAAATCCCAGAGTTTCAACGTCTGTTTCCTATCAGAAGCTAATGCAGGACACAAGTGTAGGAGACTATTTTCATGTTCAGCCTGCATAAAAATCTCAGAATGACAGATAAAAACCAGGAATAATCCTTTTCAGTGTTCCAAACCTTTAAAAAATACATCTATCTATCTATCTATCTATCTATCTATCTATCTATCTATCTATCTATCTATCTATCTATCTATCTATCTATCTATCTGTCTGTCTGTCTGTCTGTCTGTCTGTCTGTCTGTCTGTCTGTCTGTCTGTCTGTCTGTCTGTCTGTCTGTCTGTCTATCTCTGTCTGTGTGTCTGTCTGACTTTTCTCTGTCCATTCCTAGTAAAGTGTCGTTATCATGCATAATTATGACAGTAGAGCTAATTACAGAGAAAACGTTGATTAAAACAGAGCCCTGATGGTCTGTGTAGTTAATTAAAAGGTCAGTCGTGTTCATTTAATCCAGTCCTTTTACTCCCCTGGCTGGGCGAGAGAGGGACTTAGAGCAGTGAAGAAACCATCTGCTGCCACCAACACTGGAGGGGAAATGAAGACTTCAAACATGCCAGACACTCTCAGCTTTAAAGCTGTATCTCTTTGTGTAAACTCCAATTTTTTCCCTCTGTGGATGTCTTCCTAGGTCTCTGTTTTGATGAAGACAGCTTTACACATCCCTGATCTCATCGTCAGACTGCAGACGGTTTTTGGAACACGAGGGCTGATGAATATTTGTGAATGTTAAGATGCCATATTGTTAGAATTAGACATGGATTTACGTCATCTAGCAGAATCATCTCTGTGAAGAAATAATTGCTATCTTATCCTCCAGGCACCTGGCCAAGTGAATGCATGAAAATGGAAACGCGGAGCAGACAAAGTGCTTCCTCTCAGAGGAGAAACATCAGGTGGACGTACAGTGAGATGTGCATACTGCTTGCTGCAGGTGACGGTTGATAGTAAATGGTTTGAAAATAAATCTGTTCTGGCATGAGAGGCTGCCTTGAGGGTAAACATCAGGTCTGCTTTACATGCTTGTTTCTTCACATTTCTACAAACTCCCACATTCCTCTGTGTTGTGATGCCTTGTTTTGTCTGTGTTAAGGTGTTCCAGGTTTGTATTTATTAATAATTCTGTTTTTGTATGTACAGGGCATATAACCAAGTCCTCTTAGACATCATAGTAACAAATACAGATTCAGTGAGTAGTATTAAGGATTAGGGTCAGTAATCTTTCCAGTTATGACTCACTGCATGTAAAAAAAACAATTTAACCAAAATTGAGCGGGTAAGATATTCAAAAGTTGAAATATTTGAGACCAGACATAACATGGTGCAGGTTAACGGGGTGTGCATGAGAGCACTTTTTGCCACATTGCTTGAAATTCTCATTGTGTTCATCATAATCAATAAATCTAACATGTTGTTATAAGGAGATTAATTTTGATCACAACTGAAATCCATCCATCAAACTTTCCTCTTACCATCTCTCCCCCCACATATACTCCTTTGTGCACAAATTGTGCGTCCTTGGCTTGAAGCAGCTAAACAGGAAGTGAAGCCAGAGCTGGGCTGTCGAGTGTAACAGACAGAATTTTGTGTTCTGTTAACAAATTCAATTCAATTCAATTCAATTCAATTTATATAGCCCCAAATCACGACTAGAGTAATCTCAAGGCACTTCACATAATAAACATTCCAATCCAAACAAATGTCACTTAAAAAGTTGTTTACATGTTCTGTTTAGAGTCTGGGTCTGTTCTTGCTAGGAAACGTTAGGCGACGGACGTTGTCAAGGAGCTGCTGTGATTTTGAAGCTAAGAATAAACCAGAAAGCTAAAAATTGCTAAAACTGTGACCTTCATCACCCTCTCCTTGTTCTGCTCTCCCTATCTATTCTACCTTCCTCAAGATCCATTGATTTCCCTCTTTCCTGTTCACTCTCTCTTTCTTTACATTTTAAATCACAATTGTCAATTTTTTGTCCATACGTTTTTCATAATTTTCTTAAATATTTTTTATATTTTTACATTTTTTGTTTTTTTGAAGCGCCTCGTGATTTTTATCTTGAAAGGTGCTATAGAAAAGATCTTTTCTTCTTCTTCTTTGATCGTAAACTACATATCTTGTTGTATGTTTACATAGGTGCGTTAGGTTAGGAATTATGGTAGAAAAGGTGTTACAGTGGGTCAAAAACATAAGATAATGTCAGGATTTTAAGGTTGTTAAAGCATTGGCTGCGGCCAGTGTTATTGCGTTTTCTGCCTTTATCAGATTCTGTGGCTCTGGGGAGGAGCCTGAAGATGGGGGGTTGGACCTTTGAATTGTTTGTTTGTTTATTTTGTTTTCAAAGCTTTCTTGAATGGCTTCTTCCAATATTGTCTACACGTTACCTTTGAAGTATACAGTACTGTGCAAAGGTTTTACGCAAGTGTGAAAAATGCTGTAAACAAAGAATGCTCTCTTTATTAATTAAATAATGATTGTTTATTTTTATTGGTTTACAAAGTGCACCGTGAGTGATCCCACAAATACAGCTAAAGTAGTTAAGAACTATCTTCAACAAAAAGAGGAATAAGAGTTCCTGGAAGGGATGGTCTGGCATGGAGCCCTGATTTCAACATCATGCAGTGAGTCTGAAACACAGACAACATACCCCGTGGACTGTTACTGCATACAGGAGCTAGCGTAGCTGTGGGCCGCCATCTTAGATGGGTCTCTATCCGCCCCCCAGTGCATTCATTTCTACTGAGAAAAGTGTTTACACAACAACAGAAGAAAATTTATTTTATTATGCTTTTTCACAAAGTTGGACATATAGTGCTACATGATAGTTAAAATTGAAATATAATTAAACAAAATAAATACAAATATAAAATCCCAACAGGTAGGCTGGAAACTAATCCCACAGATTTTCAATAGTGGTTGTTGTAACCATAGGCTGCACAAAAAAACAGGCATAGTGTCTCACGACTCCAGCTGGATATGGAGAGTGAGGAACCCACACAATATGGTGGCGACAGTGTTACACACTCCAGCGCCCATTGGGGAATCTATGTATTCAAGTCTATGGTCTTGGATTACATGATGAGACAGAAGGATGTGAGAAAGCCTACATCCACAGACCTGTGGTTAGTTCTCCAAGATGTTTGGAACAGCCTACCAGGCCAGTTCCTTTAAACACCTGTGTTCAAGTGTAGCTAGAAGAACTGATGCTGTTTTTGTTTTTATGACTTATCTTTAGTTCATTCTCAGCTTTTGCTGATTGATTGATTAAAATGCCACACCTGTCTAAAATGTTTGCACCGTACTGTTAGTATTTATTTGCAAAGATTGAAAGAGATGTTTTAGTCATCAAGAGTAATTTTATTTTCATTTTCTAAAATGCAAAGGACATAACAGGATTTGAGAATAAATCCAAAGTTGAGTGCACAAAAATGTTTCACTGCAGGCGTTTATGTACAAGAATGAAATCAACAGCTTTTGTTTATACAGAATTCAACAGCAATAATATTTAGAGTCAAGTTATTGAACCTAATAACGAAGACAAGACTGGAGTCATTTGCACTGAAGGTATCTTTTTTAAACACAGCACATGAGTTAGAATTTACATCTCAGTGAACTTTGCTGAGTAAAAGTTCACAAATAGTGCATCAAAAATCACCGGAGCTTGTTTTATTATACAGAAAAACTGAAAACCACATGGCCTCGCAAACAAACCTGCTCAAAAGAACAAACTGTAGAAATGTCCTCCGCATTACTTTTTCTGTTTACCCAGAAACGCATTAGCTAGCAATTACAATCTGATTGTACCATCACTGTCTAATATTAGTGCTTCAGAAGAATATTAGGAATCAGTGGTAATTGAATTGGTTTGCAAGAAAAGAGAAAAGATGCCAAAAAAATTTAGCGAGATTTCCGTCTCAAGCAGATAAGTTGTAAAAAAAAAAACATGAAATCTGCCCGGGTGTACATTGAATAGGTTATTATATTTAAAGTAAGAGACAAGGTTAATGCTTTGTCTTTTGTACAGTGATCCTCAAAACATATCTGAATATTTTTTGCTGAATTACCCTCTTTTAGATGCACAAATGTGTTTTTATTAGAAAGAGGCAACAAAACAGTTGGATAAATGAACAACCAGACAGAGAGGGATGTCGTGATGTTAAATATTTATACATGTTGCAGCTCACCCAGCCCTTGCAAAGACAGGATCTTTCCATTTGAAACAACACTGCATGTTGCTAGAGCTATACTGCTACTGAATACAAGATACTGTGGATCTGAAATGCTTTAGTTCAGCTCAACACTATATGTGTGCTAGAAGAGAAGCCAAAAACACTCACAAACTCTTTAAATCAAACCAAATATGAAACTGACCATTCCGCAGAACACAGATGAGTTTAAATACATGAAATACACAATTACACCCCCGACCCCCTCCATAATTTCAGTGGAGAATAAAGAAAGTGCTCTGGTCGAACCTGTAAAAAAATAAATCTTACACACCTCCGATTTTTCCTAGGAGGGTTTCTCACACAAAAAAAAAATCTTATTGATGGTCTTCCCCCCAGTCGCTGTGCTGCTCCTCTCCCTCGCCGCCCATTGGTTGGATTAGTTGTCATTTGTTGAAAGGAAGGCAGGCCGGCAGGATGACAGTGGAACAGGCCGGGCCTGCCAAAGGTTCTGCCACCTCTCCCTCCAACTCTGTCCATGTTCCCTTTTCTGGGATGTAGCAGATGGTTGAAGACTTATAGGCACCCTGAGGAAAAAGGGACATCTCTTTATTCCTCTGAGTGCTATTTATCCAATCACAGTCACTCAGCTGTCAGGAGCAAAGCAATAATAATCCTCAGAGCAGAACTCTGACACAGCAGATGATTGTAATCCATGAAACGACACAATAATCACAATAATAACAATTTAAATTCTAAGTTAAGTACATTTCCTACCATGCTCCAGCTATAGCCACCCACGAGGAAGATGCTGTCATCCAAAACAGCACAGCCCGGACCGCTGCGACCCTCCAGGATAGGTGTCTGGAGGATGTTCCACTGATCAGCTTTTGGGTCGTAGCACTCCACCAGCATCACATCCAGATGGGAAAACCCTGTTTGAGAAACAGGTAGAACAGAAATTCATTCAGTGCACTGATGATAATAATTTTTGAATTCAGGTTTTTTACTTTCTCTAATTTCCATCTGGGATTAATAAAGTATTTTTGAATTTGAATTGAATTTGAATTGAACTGAATTGAATTGAATTAAATGTGTGGTTTACTCATTTATTCAACGTATTAGCAGTGTTCTCTAGTGTAAATCAATGCCTCATTTAAAAGAAAAAAAACTATGATGCTCCTGTTCTAAGATGCAGAAGTTTGCTGTTGCAGAGCTGGGCTGTAAACAGCAGGGTTGCTCATTATTATTAATGATATGCACACATCTCACTTCTGACTGGCTAACAGAACATGTTCAGCCATGTTGTCACTATCACCAAGACACTCTCTGCTCTCTCTCTCTCCTCGCTGCAATTTTTTTAAAGCCTTCCTGCGAATGCTAATTCACAGTGTGACATAGATTTGTGAGGATTTTCTAATCCCAGAGTTTCACCATCCATCTTCAATCAGAAGCTAATGCAGGAGATAGGAGTAGGAGGCTATTTTCATGTTCAGCCTGCATGAAAAACTCAGTGACCGATTACAATCATAAATAATCATTAAAAAATACCTTTTCAGTCAGTCACACCTTCAAATTATTCTTTTATGAAATCAAACAAAAAAATGGCCACCGTTGAACAACTCTCTCTGTTTCTGTGTTCTCTCTCTACCATGTGGGCGAGCTGGAAAGGACTATATGTCAAGTACCTCTGTGCAGAGACATCCAAACCAAAAGGGAGATTTGTCATTTGGTTTGCTATCCTTCTACTGTCAACAAAATGCAACAAAAACACTATGAAGTCTTTAAGGCATAGAACAGAATATCTTGCAGATGGTATGCTAAGTGTTGCCATGTATGAAGATAAGAACTAAATTAATCAACAGAAGCAGAAAAGAATGATCACAGGTTTATCAAGAAATTCTCCCATCCATCCAGGCATATACTGAAACCAGCCACTAGGAGGAAGCGCATTTCACAATGCTCAATGTGAGGAAACAAGTTTGAATAACAACAAATGTTGGCAAGCCTATAGACATTTTTCATGAGCAGAATCGGAAGCAGCAAATGAGAAGATTTTATATTTCTTTTAAACTAAACATGCGTTCTAGTGCACATCCTTTTCAATTTTGTACTTTGGATGATGAATAGAAAAAATATTGCACAGAGTAATGAAGGTCTGCTCATAACTAAACCCTAAGCCTAACCTCTTTCATGTACTTAAAAAGTTGTGAGAGCTTACCTTTCAAATGGTTTCCACCAATAGCATACAAGCGATCGTTCATCCCAGCCAGGGCATGAATGGCGCGCTTTGTGTTCATGTCTTGTTTTCTAGCCCACACGTCCATTACAGGGTCGTAGCAGTAGAGCCAGGACACGTACTCGCCGTTGTGCACACCTCCTGCAATGTGTCACAACAGCATTGTCCCATTAATACCAGCTCTAAATCGATATGTGTAAATTCAATTCTATATGATGAGCTGGAACGGGTCAAAATATTTCTACAGCAAGAATAACTGGTCATGGCAGGTCTGTCTGTTGATGCTCTACAGCCACATGAGCTTCTACAGAAACGCGTTGTCTGCCTTGTTTAAAACAGGGTCTTTCAATCGTTTATATTTCTAGTCTCTCCAACCTGCTCTGTTCAAATGCTTCTTCTTTCATCTTTTCAGTTCACGATGGCCAGCGTGCAGATGAGTCACTAACAGTTACTAAGCTCTGAGAGAAAAAACGGTTTCAGTTTGTAACCGTCGACATTTATTTGCTGGGTTTAAGTAAGCTGAATGACACTAAAACTAGATATGAATTATGATGAAACGATACCAGGAAGAAAAAATTACTATAAATATTTCTTACTAGCAGTATTTTGAATCAGATTTATTTTGACACCCCTGTGATTGCATTTTTCATAATACCCATATGCTTTTGCTTCAAGTACATTATGAAAATGAAAAAAACTATAAATACTACAACAAATATGCTAAATTTACACATATGGTCTTGTCTGGATTACCTGGGGCTAAAGGCACTACATTCAACAACAAAAAGTAGGTGGGGGTGTCCTACGGCCCATTCTGCTCTCATTTAAAGGCAAAGCTGCGAGTAATTCTTCAAATAAACCGTTTCAAGACACATCATACCACCTTTTGACAAAAAACGGAATGTTTGTTAAATATGCTACTTCTTTATTTTAGTGTACTTATCTGAAAATGGATGTTTGCCCTTAGCTGCGTATAATTTCCCTACATCTAAAGTAATTTATTATGTGTAACCTGTTTAGGATTTTGTTTTGGCTTGTGCATGCACCATGCCAGTTTAAAAACTACTGTTGCATCAAATAGTGTGTGTCTGAGTGACATCCTCTCTGCAAACCTGAGATGTAGATCTTGCCGTTGTGCACTGCTCCTGCATGGGCAGCTAAAGGCTGTGGCAGAGGTGACACATAGTTCCACTCGTTTGTCTCCAGGTTGTAAGACTCCACACTGGACAGGTAGCCTGCCTCGTTTCGACCACCTATCACATATAAGTGCTTATCCAGGCGGCAGGCAAAGAAACTGGCTCTCCTGTGGAGGAGACACAATCAACAAGACATCACTGATCTGGCAACAGTCATTGTTTGCTTTTTCAGGCTTTTAAACTGAAAAATATTCTGGAAAATCATAAAAACACACCAATGAGTTTGTTATTCATATGCTAGTTGTTTTATGCAAATGTAAATCCACAGTTTATCAAAAGTCACTTTTGCAAAATAATTTATTTTTAGATTTTCTGACAGTCCTTCAAGCTTTTAATAGTAAAAAAAGAAAAACATGCACACCTTTCCTGCATAGGAGGCAACTGAATCCAGCTGTTGAACCTGGGATCGTAGCGGCTGACAAAGTTGGTGCTGTGCTTTCCTGAAAAACGGAAATAAAAACTATTAAGCATATTGTAGTTGGGTCTAACATCTTAGTTATGCATGAACCTTTCATTTTGTGAGCAAAATTTAATCTGACATTGGTTATCAACAGAACGTCTCCATTGCATAAAAAAGTGTTAATGCATGCTGCATGTTGTTCATCCAAAAGAGTGAAAATTTGTTCATAAGGAATTATTCTGCAGAAATCTGTATAAAATGCCTATCGGTTTTCAGCTGCATTCACTTGATTTTTCCTCTTGCAGCTAAAAAAAAGCAACTCGTTCTACTCCATGGAGCACAGATGTTGATAGGAAAAAAAATAAAACATGGTATAGTTTTTTTTTATCATTTACAATGTTTGTCTCCCAGTTAGGGACTGTGTTGCCACTGTTTAACAAAAAGAGCTACTAACACTTTGACACAATAAATATTTCAGTGTTAACAACAGTTATTTGTCTGTGCCAATTATTGACAAGTGTTGATTGAAGTGTTGTTTGTCCACTTTCAGCTGATCAAGCTCCAGGATGAGTGTTCCTTTTGCTCTGATGGTTTTGAACCTACACAAACGCTGACTGAGGGCATCTTCTGAATTGTGTAAACAGTGAAATATTTGGTGTGTGAAATAACATAAAAAACAAGCAAAGAGCAGTTTTGTAGTATCAGAATACCGTTGGGGTTCCACTGGTCCTCTCCACCCAGCAGCAGCAGGAAGTTCTCCACCTCCACCACGCAGTGATGAGCACTGTTGTAAGGCATTACTAAATGACAATCAGAAATAAAAAACCAGTCACTTAACCCTGTCATAACAGAGGTCAGGCATTAAATAATTCCAAAATGTTGGGAAAAAAATGGCAGTTCACTTTTAAATCAAACAGTTTTAGCTTATGAACAGTTAAGGGAGATCTATTGTGACTTTTTTCCTTAAGTTACTCTAGTCCTATGATCGATACAAAACACATTTATGAAGTTCTATACACTCAATCTCTCTCACATAAAGGAATTTCAGCAGTTTTATTTTTTTATAGTTTAAGTACCTTCCAGAATGAACCATTTCAGGGCTCTGTCTCTTTAGGAAAACAAGCTGGAGCTGTCCTCCACCCCCCACCCCCCGCTCAGGCTGCTATAAGCTGAGAAAATCCGATATCCGGGAGGGACTTGGAGTAGAGCCGCTGCTCATCCAGCAGCAGCTCTTTCTTGCAGGTGAGGTGGTTAATTCTAATCCCTGTTTGTGACATCACAAACAGGGACTTTGTAAATGGTTTGCTTTAAACAAACAAATCCAAAAACTAAACACTTACAGAAAACTAATTCATGTCTTTTTTCCATATCGGAAGTGTTTATAAAGTCAATAGAGACCCACATGTCAGCACAGAAGGATGCAAAAGGCGAGTTTTGCATACTATGTCCCCTTTAAATCACAATGGCAAAGACTGGCCGACCCAAATATTGCTGGCTGAACTACAAGAACATTGCTAAAAATCTAAATAACTGAGGGCACAATGCTTCAGCTCATAAAAGCTAAAAGTCAAAAATTGATTTAAGTGTTGCATTGCATCAATTCTGGTGAAATATATAGTGAAATATTTTGGCTTCTGGACCTTATCTCAAGACACCAATCCTACAGCTGCGGGGTCCACCATGAAGGATTTTACCTTCGTGTATGTTTTTTGTGGCCTCCTCTTCTCCTTCATCTTCTTCTGCTGATGTGACCCCATTGAGATGTAGAGAAATGGTCTTAGGTGACAGTCATAATGAACATGATCGTGTTCACTCAATAAATCTCAGGCCCGGTGCTTTTTGAGCACAAATCAGTGAAATGGTAAAGCCCACCTGTCTGTCTCCATCAGTCATTTCCACTGTCACCTCCCCATCGCCTGATGGATCACAGTTGCTGCAAAATTAGACAGCCTTGAATCTCATTTCTTTCCAATTGGCCTCTTCCAGCGATCTCACTCAAGCTGGTTGACATGTGCCGGTCCTCTTTTGGGAGGGAAGTCTCAGATAGGAATTAATACTACATACACTAAACATAGCTTTATCTCGAAGGAGGGGATTAGGTCGCCTGCCTTCAGTGCACCTCAAAGATGAGCGTTATACAACTGCCAGATTCCCTTACATGCTATTTACATTATCATCCAGTCAGCAGTATAGGGGACACGGATGGGTGGCTTATTTGGTGTCTAGTGACTTGTACTCCTGAAAAACATCTCCTACTGATGTGAAAAGAAGATTATTGGTCTACAGTATGTCACGGAGCATCTGAGGTACTCTGAGGATTTGAAACGTATGAGACTCTGGTGAATAATGTGAGGTTATGATATAATGAAATAGTCCTTGCGCAGTGAAAAGAAAAAAGCATATCAATCATGTTTCCCTTCTACAGCTGTGAAATATTACCTGAGGAAATGGTTTAAATTTATCTGGCTTTTTGTGCCCCTCTCAAATAAATCCTCTGCTAACCCCGGGGTCTGAGCAGCAATAGGAGGGCAGGATGAGCACGTCCTCCACGAGATGGACGCTATCACTCCAGACTACAGTGAGCTCTGGGGCTCACTAGAGGGAGTCAGAAACCTCTGCATAGGAGGCTGAGTCATGCTCGGTTGAATGGCTTCACAGCTAATGCACCACTGCCGCTCCAGCTCTTATGCACCTCAACACAGCCGCATCCCACTGAGCAGAGTTCCTTTGTTCTAAACCAGGCTCTGATGCTTCATCATTCATGGCCACGTCTGGGTTTTAAATCATACGTTGCTTTAAAAAAGATTAAAAAAACGTCAAGATTGCAGCTGAAAAATCTGCCTGCCTTTGTGCTGTGCTCAGCCACGCTGCTGTAGGTACACTAGATGGCAAAATTTCCACTGGAATCAACGAGCGGTGGCTCCGTCTGACAGAACCGGAGGAATCAGATTCTGCCCAAATTGTGTTGATGAATGTCTTAATCAAAGGCTGTCCCTCTCAGGTTTCGCCTCATTGAAAAGTTATGATTGAATGTTAATAATCTTCTATTCCACATCCATTGTGAAGAGGCTACATCAGGTGGTCGCTGATGTGTTAAGGGGATGATTTTGCAGTTTTGTCCTTCCACTTGGCCACGGACCATTTGAGTGTTAACTTTTTTAGTTTTGAGCGATGAGAATCCCTATTGACCTTTTGCTTGTTGCAGTTTATGCCCATGAGTGTGAGTTTAATGAGAAAATGACGACACAGACACCAGAGAGCATCTCCCCATTGTGTACGCAAGCCTTATGAACCCCAAGAGTTTATTTCAGAACAAAATTGGTGATTTTTAAAAACAGAAAAATCAAAGCTGGTTTATTGAAGTTTGAGGTCACAGAGTGAAGCTATAAACAGCTCAGGACTAAAGTGACAGAGAGCATAAAACGGGGCTGATTTGTATGAATGGAGAGAAGCAGCTGAGATATGACTCCGTGAGAAACAAAGGACAAAAACTCAATATGTCCAACAATGATGATACAAAGGAGGAATGTGTTTTCCCAATAGCTTCATTGTGACCTTTGCAATATGGTAACATTATAGTGGTAATCCTTAAAAGGTCAAGGAAGACAGAGAGAAAAGAGAAGGAAGTGCGCTTCATAGAGGTGAAAGCAGTATGGGTGCTTCTTATTTAGTTATTTTTTTATGTCTCGCATATATTCAGAAAAAAATTTTAATGGACCAAAATTCCTGGGAAATTATGACAATTTGTCGTAACATTTTACAATAAGGGTCCATTTCGGGGCAGCAGTAGCTCAGGTGGTAGAGCGGGTTGCCTCATGATCGGAGGGTCATGGGTTCGATTCCAGCTCCCGCCAGGGGTTTCCTGCTGTTGTGTCCTTGGGCAAGACACTTCACCCAACTTGCCTGTGTTAGTGGTGGTCAGACGGGCCGATGGCAACCTCGCCTCTGTCAGACCTCCCCAGGGCAGCTGTGGCTACAAGTAGCTTACCATCACTAGCAGTGTGTGAATGTGAGAGTGTGTGAAAGCGTCTTTGGGTGTCTAGAAAAGCGCTATATAAGTTCAATGCATTATTATTATTTATTAATGTTTCTTAGTGCATCTTTAAGCATTAATAAACTATTAAATAAAGTAACAACTGCTTAACCATATATGTAATGTATTACTAAGCAGACAAACCCCCAGGCCCTTTGTCCTAACGTTAAGGACATTTGATATTTAACAATAACAGTAATGTTTATTAATGCTTAATAATGCACTAATGTTAATAAAGGGACCCTTATTGTAAAGTGTTACCCTATTTTATTTCAATTATTTCAAGAAGTGAGTGATTGGACAGCATACGTGTCTTTCAACCCTAAACATAGTAAATTGTCAAAAAAAAATACTACATAAATTAAGTTTTTTTTTCCAATGATTTCTACATCTAAAAAATAACCCTTTAGTACTTTATTTTAAACCTAACATCATGGGTTATGTAAATTGACAACAAGGTATGGCTTTATACATATACTGAGAGACCATATGCTACTTGAAAAACTCAGTTTCCCATGCATGCTAAACATGAAAATGTTCTTGAACCCTCATTAACTGCATTAACTATTGCAAGGAAACAGACGGGAAAATGATTGGTTGAGAAATGTCATTCTCCTCTACGTCACATGCAAAATAGGTATTCATGGCCTCACCCTAATTCTGCGTGAAACCATGAAAGAGGCAGCATCTAATCATTAGCCAACCATCAGCAACTCACCAACATGGTGGAATGCATTTTGGCTAGTGTTATTTGTGGAAATAAAACATTGACGTATTTTTTTATCCAAAAAAGAAAAGCAAACAGAGCAAATGGAAGAGGAGAGGTGTTTACATATCATGAATATTAAAGGTGAACTGTATAAGAATGAAGTGAGAATGACAGCCTGTGGTACAATTGGGTTACTACAGTCTATTTTTCTAACTGTAGAACGCTGTGAGTTCCATGGCTGTAACCAGTTATGGATCAGATAAATCTAGATGATGAAAGAAGATGAGTCATACACAGTAATTTGATAAGTAGATCAATAAATTGTCACATCTGGTGTTAGCACTCTTAGGTGTTTTACAGTAGGGAGCACTTACAACACTTATTACGGTAACACGTCACCGGCGTTAGAGGAAGTGTAGTTGTTTGCCGTCTTGCTGTTATAGTTCTGAGTGACTCATTAAAGGAAATAAAACACCACGACTGACTCATTAGTTACTTCATACATTAATTTTACTGAGATATTTTTAGAGCCGACAATTTGCTTTTGATTCACCATTTGCATTGTTATCTCAACATTAGCCTATAGCCTCCTTCACCCAATATTAGAGTAAAACAAAAGGATGCCGTGGCTTCTTAGAGGTACATACAAGAACTTCTGGGTTGCTCCTGTTCACTGGCTACAGTTCTTTAAACAACTCTGGAGCTTTTTGCCTGCTGGTGTCAATTTACGAATGCCGGCACAGCAGCATTAGCTCTGCGCATACTTGAAAACCACACAAACTCACTGATTGAAAACAAAGACTACGTCCCTCTCTATTTTAAGGAAAAAAAACTGACAACCCTCCAGCCTACTGAGAAAGAAATCTGTTTTTATGTGTAACGTCCTCCTCTCATCGACACCCCACCCCCACCCCTTCCCCCACTCGACCCCCCCACGCCGGACATATATCCTCTGCCTCGGACTCCACCTCCCAACATTCCACTCACCGGACATCCCCTCCATGTATTAATGTTGTAAAGGGACCTCATCTATATACGTGGCTGCGTTTGGTTCGTAAAACCTGCCACAGCCAAACTCTCTGCTTCCCTCAGACTAGCCTCCATCCAGTGGCGAGTCCTGACAGGATGACTGAGTCCTGGTGGAAGTTGGGAGCCTCCGTATAAAGATGCGGTGGTGACGTTGAGCAGACGTCTGGTGAGTGGAATGCTGAGAGTGGAGTCCTAGGCAGAGGATCAGTGTCTAGCGGAGCGTCAATGGGAGGAGGGCATGACACATGTAGGCTTCCTCACAACATGATTTATACATTATACTGTTTTGTGATTATTTCACTGTAGAATTCTTACATATTGCCCCTTTAATGAGCAAGACTCCAAATCCGGCCGTTTTCTGCCCCCACTCCTCCAACCAACTTCTACCTCTGAAACAGGAGCGCCAGAGCATTTTGTCCACAGAAAATGACTCACAAGGCATTCATTCATACTAGAACCACAGATGTTGTTTTAGATATTAAAAAAATAAAAATAAAAAGAGATAGGGGCTGTGAAGGAATTTCCTAGAGCTAGGGTATTCTTTGCTACTGAGTTTATCATTTGTGATTTATTTTAATATGACATGGACATTAAATAGCACATAAAATGTCACGCTGTCCCAGAGAAGCTGTTTGGAGTTAGAATGTCTACCAGTTTTATGAAAACAACCTTACTTGTGACAAAAAAGAATGCTCACTCAAGATAGAGCTAAAACAATGTCAAACCAATATAATGATTGTTCAGTCAGAATCTCCCAGCTGGCCATCTACTGAGTCCCTTATAAAAAGTAATGTAAGATGTCTATAAACCCATCCCATGTTGGGGCAACAGGTTCCTGTCACCTCATACTAGCAGGTCTGGAATAATTCAATGAATGTATTGATTAATGAGACTGAATGATCATTTAAATTCTGTTGAGGGCAGATGTCATTTCTTTTTGTTCTTTCTCTGCCTCAATACATCATTAGATTCTAGTAAATCTCATCAAGCATCCTGCCAGCATATTTCAGCAAAAACAAGTGAAACCGGGCATGAAGCTCTACACTGCTGTGAAGTCACGCTCTGATTAAAAACTTATATTAAAAGTGATAGTGATGCATTATTACCTGAAGGATTTAGGGAACTCCTTACCCTCATTTTCTGTGGAAATTAACCCGTGTTAAAGTCATCCACAGGAACAACTATTTCTCGTCGTAATAGCCACTAAAACAAGACGCCTCAGGTGCAAAAGAAGCAGAGAGCCTTTGGAACTCACTTGTGAGGATCTTCCATGTCTTTTTTTCATCGTCATAGTACTGGACCAAATTGCTGGGGAGGCGGTCGGGTCCAGGAGGCAAACCTCCCACCAGGAGCAGCATTCTCTTATTGGAACGGATTCTGTGAGGGCAATCATTAGAAAATATTTCAATACCAAAAAATCTACATTGCAAACCTTACATTTACCATGATCTGATCTGGAATTCCTTTCATCTTTACCTTTTTTTGTTTTCAGTTGCTCGTGATATAAAAGAGGTTAATTCGTATACGTGGGCACATTTACTAATAAAGTAGCTCAATAGTGCATGTTTCCTCCTGATGTAATATTGAACGGTTATTTTTCTCTAAAGATATCTTTTCAATTAGCTGTGAAGCAAGGATGGTCCTGCAGGGTGCCATGCTGGAGGCACATAAACCTGCCCATACAACGTCCCCATTTCACTGGCTGCACTGATTCATGTGTACACATGTGACTCCCTAAACTGGTGGTGAAATGTTTCCTGCCCTTTGTATAAAGTCTGAAAGCTGCACAGTTCACTGCATAACTCAAAATACTGAACAAATAAACTTTATTTTCAGAGAAGTTCACCATCTTGTTTTACTTTTCCATGCTTGGGTAAATCCCAGCTGTCTCTGTATCATTTGAGCCCATTCAAAAAGTGTTTTTCACATGCAAATGAGACCTCGGACATAAATAATAGTGATTAATTGAGAGCAGGGAAACTGTTGCACATTAGACTAATTACGAGGATCCTTGATTTGCAGCTCATTTGGGTTCAAACGTGGGAACAGCTTATTATTCAGACAACAAGCAGGTGTTTTGAATAACTCAAATTTCACTTTAGTTTTAAAATCTTTACAATATTTCTAGATTTCAAAGCATTCCTTGACTGGAATCCAATGAGCAACACTTCATGTTGTAACTATCTCCCTAAAGTTTGCATCAGAACAAAGATGGACAGAAAACACTCAAGCAGACAGTTTTTGTCTCTGTGGGACACTTGCAGAAATTTTAAATTGTCCTTAAAGTAAAAAAAAAAAAAAAAAATAAAATCAAAAAATTGCTACAGATTCGGAAATACCAAACCAAACTCAAATTAATTATTTACCTTATTTTTTACAGCAGAAACAAGGGACTTTGTTTGTTCTTGGATCATAAATTTTGTGCAATCACCATGTGATTACCATGGCAACAATTTTAATTTCAACATTTCACTTTGCACTGAGAGCTACTATACAGGAATTGCATCTGGTTTAAAACTGATTAGAGAGCAATTACATGCAATTTACACTGGTGTGCGTAAAAAAATAAGTGTTTTTTTTTTGGGGGGGGGGGCATACAACAGCATTTTATCTGACTAAAAGGCAGGATGGGGCTGATCAAGCCCTTAGGCGCTGTCGTCATGTTACAGGAAACGCCCCAATTGGGGCGTCTAACCCCTCAGCTGTAACCTGCCCTGCTTTGTGATCAAAGCAGCACTTCAGTTTAACTTGAGATCATATTTCATTTTATCAACCAAATAAGACTCAGCTCACGTACTGAGGTGGGATAAAGATGAATTGATACGTGTATTTTTGCTCTTTCTTTAATTAATCAGATTTGCACTCACCTGCTCGCCGTGGTCTGCCTACAGTGCTGCCTGAACGGCATCAGGTGGTAGTTCATGGCATCCAGGAGCAGCTTCTGGCACACGGGGTCACTCCTCATAAAGTCGACGGACTGCACCCTTTCCACCAGCTCTGGAGCAGGTATGAGGGCAAAGCGTAGTCTCTTCATAAGGTCCGGTGCATAGTGCATTCGAGTCTCCCGATCATGCTCCAGCCAGAGGACTGACATCTGGAATAGAGCCAGTTCTGACTCAACCGGGGGTGGCAGAGCATCTAGCATGGCACACATCTCCTCAAAGTTCAGTAGCAGCACGTCCTCCACCAGGTACTTGTTGGCCAGCTTCTTGGTCTCATCGAGTCCGTGCAGTGCAGCAATCTTGCAGATCTGCTTGTAGTTCTGCACTGAGATCTGGTCATTGAGGAACTGTACACTGAGCTTGGTAATCTGGGAGATGTTCAGGATCTTGCTGACAGACAGCACCTCTTCCACTGTGTCCAGAGAAAGAGTAACATTGGCAGTATACAGGTACTCCAGCACTAATCGCAGTCCAATAGAGGAGCAGCCCTGGAGCACCAGGTTATTGATGGGCCGGGCGCTGGTGTTCACCAGCTTGTCATCAGGAGAGGATGAGGGGGTCCCACTGCTGCCTTGGTCCCCTTTGCTTCCTTCATTTGTGATGACATTGTGGGACGAAAAAAGAGATCTGAAGTACTGAGAGCAGGACGCCAGCACAGCTTTGTGGCAGTGAAACTGCTGTCCCTGGGCAGTGAGAGTCACATCACAGAAAAGCTGTTTTCTCCATAGCAGGTTGAGCCCATGCAGCAAGGTGTCACTGTGCGTTGGGTCAAAGGTGGACGTTCTATCACCCGATCTGGACATGACTTCCTGACTCTGAACGCCACCTAGGCAACAAACAAACCATGCCAGCCATTTATTTACCCCAGCTCTGTTTATTTACACACCACACGTCTACAGAACCCAAAACTCAGCAGTCACAGGAGATTTCTCCATAAGTTACGGAACAGATCCCGCGTCGGCACAGCGGAGAGGAGGATGAACGATAACCGTGCCAGCCGATCTAGCCGCTTCCAACTTTGAGCTCTGGTCGTAAAGCAACAAACAAAAACGCAGTATCTCCCACGACGCGCCGCCCGTGTTCATTCTCAACTTGAAAATGAAAAAGGGGGATTTATCCGGAGGTTCGGAGGGCGCTACCGAAACCAAACGCGGAACCAGAGACTCTGCGGTGCTGCGCTCCCGCGGCTGAAGTCCGTAAACGCGCCACGATGGACGGAAAGCATGCAGCAAACACCTATCCTGTCCTCATGGTGTATTTGCTGCGCACCCCCACAATGAGGACATTACACTCTGCACAGATTCACGGAGTCACACAAAAGCAATTAGTTTGTCTCTCCGAGCCGTCAGCAGCTGTAGGCACGTTACGCGTTTGTCTGAACGCACGTGAGTACCAAATATCCGCTCTAATCATGCAGCTTTCGGTAAAGTTCATTACAACATGCGTCTATTTTCTTTTTTAGCCTGTAAATACGCTGTTTCCGCTTGCTCATGCGGGTTTAAACCTAAGGCAACGCTGTCAGATTGTCCAAACGCGCCTGTCACAACTAAATGATGGCTGAGAAGGAGACCAAACTTACCTGACTTCAGCTCTTCACACAAATAAAGAAAGAAAGAAAGCTTCACAGTCCCAAATATCTCTTGAATGTTCCTTTGTTCTTCTTTTTAGAAGATTTTCCTCCTTTCCTTTAAAGTCTAGGGTCGGCGGTGTCTCCAAATAACCATTGATTCCAACTCCTAAAGTCACTATTTCAGGTTATTTGTTGACGTTGATCATTTGTTCTTCAGAATTAACAAGAAGTGTGTGAGTGTGTGAGAGGGAGCTGTGCTTTCTGCAAGAGAAGAAGAAGAAGAAATATACGTGTGACAAATTATGCTACCAAGAAACAACACATCATTATCCTTGGGCCTGGGGCTCAGTGAGTCGTAACGAGAGTAATAGGAAATCCACGGTTGGGGAGAGAAACGGTCGTGCATGGCCGGTGGAGAGAGACCATGCAGGGGTATGGATGCTGGAGAGACTCGCAAAATTATGGCTCAAGGCTATTGTAAAAACTGTCGAGCGTAAATGACTGCGATTTCAAACATCTTTGGAAGAAAGAAAAGAGAAAGGGGGAGAAAAACCGAGTCTTTGCCTCGCTGTTATAGAGAGAACCGTCAAGTTTTAGTGCGCATTGCTAATTAGTCAATTTCTCTCTGCCTTCACAGCCCGACGACTTTGCTGCTGAGCTGAAACTGCTAATTTCTGGGACCAGCCTTTTTTTGGCTGTGAACTGGATGGATGAATGGCTTGTCTCGCACAAATGACAAAAAGCCCCTGCCTTAATCTCCATCGCCAAAATAACCCCTCATCTCATTCTGCTCCCACCAGTCCTTCAAAAGAAGGTGCTTTGCACAAACTTCACTTCTACCTCTGGATCATAAACAACATGCATAGTGTCTTATAATGTGTGGTGAAGTCAGATATGTCAAGAGTGTCAAAATGACATGAAGTTACAACAAACAACAAAGTTAAAGATTCGCTGTTAACCTGAAACTCAGCTGCAGGCCTTAAAACACACACACACACACAAAAGGGTTTGAAAATTAATCCAGCATCCACTGGTGCACAGTGCCTTGTCACTCAGAGACCGTATAACTGCACGTTTTGCCCCCAGAAATGCACTCAGTCTAAACCCTAAAACATTAAAAGAAGTTAATTGATGACTCAATCATACAGTAACTCGTGTCTGACCACAACAAACCCCCAATGAAAGCAGCAAGTCCTGACGACACAAAGCACAAAGACATCTGATCCAAAAACGGGAATTCAGATTCCTCCTCATAAACACGAAAAAAATAAAATAAATAAAGGAACTACTTATTAGGACAGTAAACTGTCAATTAAACATAGAGCTCAATTAGAGTAAATAAACTTACATACACAACTCCCCTGGGAGCACAAGTGACAGTTGCCTCACAAGTTGTGAAAATGACAAGATAGGGATAAATGGGTTTGTTCATGTGCTATGAAAAGGCAACGCCACGTTACCGTCAAGCAATAACGGACATATTGGTAATGCTTATAAGGAAAAGAGCCATATAATGTATAATGTTTGTTTGACAGGCACACACACATTCATTCATTCCAGGTGAACTGATTAATTTGTGCTCTGCACCTCAAAGCATCATCACTGAAGGAAAATTACTGTCCTATTAATTAGAGCTGCTGTGGTATCACTTTGCATTGTGCAGCCATCACTTGTAGAGGTCTCGTCACCATAGCATTACAGTAATTCACTGTACTTCACTCTGCAGCCACATGCTGTTTTCTTTACTAGCTCTCGGTTAGCGCTGCATTACCCGAGTCTCGAGCAAGCTATTCTAACGCCATGAAATGACCATTTCCAACTCTTTCAGCTCTTTGTAGCAACTCAGTCTCCTGAGGCCGCTGGTCTTCAGATTGCAGGGCGTTTGTGGTTGTAAGTTGTTGCAGTGTGCAGGAGGGGGAGGGGGAGGGGGGGGTCATCAGATAAGAGAGGAATTTCTAGACTAATTAAACCCTTTGAGAATCACACTACAGTGATTTACAACTCTCTGTACCAGTTAACCCGACTCATTTTTATCTGTCATATTACTCAGATACCATATCTTACCTCTGCAAGTTAAAAAAGAGTTTTCAGAATTATAGAAAGGAGTTAAGAGAATAAACAACACGAGCCTCAAAACCACTATTTGTCCATAGTGTAAGTTTACTATCCATCTACTCCATAACATCCAAAAACGAAGCCCTTAAATGCAACAAAACTAAATCAAAACACATAAAAGTATCAGTTATTGGATAGCTAGATGAAGAATGAACATTTAATTTAATCAGTGCAGTGAAACAAAACAAAAGGAGAAGCATCTAAATTGCGAAAGGAAAAGTCTGCCAGGCATAATTCTTTTTGCTGGCTGTTGCAGAGGGGGTATGCTAAGATAGAAAGTATTATTTTCCTAAATGGAAGGTGTCAGATGGTCACGGAAGTGCGATCGGCTGTTCAAGATCACTGCTTCCCATCTGCAATTTGTGACGTGTGAAAGATTCAGCCCAAATGTGCTCACCGAGCGTAAATCCTCAGCACTTTCTCTTATCGTGGAAAAGCAAGATAACCAGCTGTTTACAGATCAGAGAACATATATTAATATCATGGAAGGGGGGGGGGGGGGCGATAGCATCTTGTTTGTAAAATATTTTGTTAACTAAGTGTGGTGTGGTATGGCAACCTATAAAGTCTAGGTTGTGATAGGTGTATTAGGGATCGTGTTGCAGTTTTAAGGGATTTCATGTTTTGAGCCTTGAACGAGGTAAAAATAAGAAAATCTGCATGTTACAGTTTATATTTGGGCTTAAAGGGATTGCAACATGAATCTTGTCATAAACAAAACATATTAGATTATTCTAGGCATATTATGACTTATAAGTGGCGACTAAAACATAAACTTCCGTTCATTTATTCATAAGAGTTTTGTTAACCTTTACAGTGTTGTGATGTTGGTACTGATGAGCTCATTCTTATCGTTTCAGATCAAACTTTGTCAGAGATGATTTATAAAACATCCACTGTGTAATAAAGTAGAAGTGCTTATATTTGCCACTCCGGTAGTAAGGGAGGCCTGCTGTTTTAAACCCCTAGATCCCCCACACATGGCATAGCCACCACAGACACGGCTCAGAGAGTCAGCCAGCAGCCGGGAGGTGAGCAGAGAGGAACAGGCGGTGTCCTTTCCAGAGTGAGCACAGGAGTGTGTGTGTGTGTGTATACGGGATACATGTGTGGCATTCTCAAATGACAAAAAGGAGACCAGTTGTGCAGTTCACTTGGGAGAACACGTGGAGGTGGTGTGGAGACTCACCTGAGGGAGAGTCATGGTTGCTAGGGACCGGGGCTGTAGAGGGGACCTGAAGTTGTGGGGGGCACAGGAGGCCACCGTGTCGTGCAGAAGGTTTGTGGGCTTCAGGGAGAAGAGGGGGCTGCTGTTGCGCATTCTCCCCAGCGTAATGCATCTACCTTCAGGGTGGCAGCAGGCGTGGAGTGGGGTGCGATGGAGCGAACACGAGCTCAGTGGCGCGGTCACCAAGGGATGCTGGAGCTGCTGTAGCAGGACTGATAGTTATTCCATGGGAGAATTGCAAGATGAGCCCCATTGTATTAGCAAACCCCCTTCTATTAAACCAGTATCAGTGCTCTTAAACTAAACACTTTAAAGAATCTAGTCAGGATGCAAATCTGGTACTTAACACCGTTTTTTAAAATTCTCAATTAATAAATGACCCTAAGTTATTTTCAATATGTAGTTTCAAAGACAAATTCTAAAAACCTGCATGTTTTATTGTGAATCTGAATAAATGTATCTGTTAAATTTCAGTAAACTCCTTTGGCAGCGAAGAGCCAGCGGATCACTCCATACTGACTTGAAATTCTCAGACATTAAGCTTTTTAATTTCCAAGCCGCACTTTTTCTGTTGCAACTCTTTGAGTCATATCTTCTAGAAAATTCTCTGTGTCTAATATGGTCAGCACTCCCAATTATTCACTCCACTGACAAGTGAAACAAATGGGACCAACCAGTGCATTCTGTATTATCTACACCCCTTGCATTCCCTGACAATAATTAATACAATAGCAAGCTGCTGTTACCAGCCTTGACGACACGAGCTCAACATCATAAGCTCTCCCTTTCCAAGAGCTCTTGAGAGGAAATCACATCCAGCAGGGAGGCTGTATTTATACATATCTGTGGTCATCAGCAGCCGGGTGATGTCATTCAGCTGTCTGGGAGCAGTTACTATCATATGAATGTAAGGTGCAAGGTTAATAATAAATGCAACAGAAGACTTTACCTTTGAGATATAATCATTCTTTAAACCAGGAGTCCCCATCCTGGTGCCTGCAGGCATCATGGTGCCCCCCCCCAAATAACCCAAGTATAAAATAAAATTTTTAAAAAGTTCTGTTGCCATCTTTTTCAATCACAAATGCATTATTATAGATTTAAAAACTATAATTTATATTAAAAAATCACTTTAAAATATGTGTATTGTACATGTATTATAATTTCCGGACTATAAGGTCCACCTGAATATAAGCTGCACCAGCTAAATTTGGGGGAAATTACAGATTGTTCCATATATACGCTGCACCTGACTGTAAGCCGCTGGTGTTTTAATGTTTAATCAACATGCTGTATGTGGTAACTCTGGGAGTGTTTAGCCTTTTGCCTTGCATGCTCTTTATCATTAAAAAAACAATGCATAAAACAATTTTTGAGAAACATATTTAAAGATGTGGTTGACTGAAATTTTTTTTAATGATTACTTCTGAATATAATCAGTCACTTTGAGGTTTTCATACAGGCTGAACCTGAAAGCAGTCTACTGCATCTATCTCCTGCGTTAGCTTCTGATAGAAAACAGACCGTGAAATGCTAGGACTTGACAGTCCTCACACAGTAGCTGTTTTTACAGGACCATAGCTTTGCAAAACGGGATTTGCCGCAGCACCCTGGGGAGGATTTTGGCATTTATAGTAGCAAAGCTGAAGCTAGAATAAACTGCCATCAGGGACACCCCCCCACCCCCCCGCATGTGACGTACAGGGTTGCGCATTCAGCGTCTGGCAGAAGACACATCAGACTGATGAAATTTATTTTTCAGGACTTTTAGCTTTGATGTGACCTGCTTTTTGTCCCACTTGACACCCCGCTCAGCCAGTGTTTTCACCACTCTGTCGAACAGCTGGCTGCCTCTCACGTCCCCGTAAAAAGGCGACTAATCTGTTTGTCCACTCGCATGGTAAAAAGCTCCATGGTCTCCGCATCCGTCCAGCCGGCTTTCCTTCCGGCCAGCACTCGGCGCACAGTGTACGTGACTAACGCGACCACCCTCTATGGGGGGGGGGGGGGGGGGGGGCTCCCACAGTCGCTCCAAAGGGATTAGCAGGGCTGACACATGTTTAGCCGTCAGAGGCGAGGGGCTGATGCGGCAATATTACTACCAAGCGAGGCGGAACGAATGCCGCAACATTCGCGCAACACCATGCCGGCATGGCACATTTATAGAGATACCATTGCGGTAATATTACGTCGATATGCCGGCATGGTGTGTCCTATAACAGCACCTTGTGATGTCACACTGTAAATTTGCATAGATGCCCTCGCCCATCTCGGCTCACATCCACCCACAGGAAGGCTTAAAAAAATGTTTGCAGCGAGAAGAGAGAGCAGAGTGTGTCTTATGATAGTGACTTTACAACATGGCTGAACACATTTTGTTAGCCAATCAGAAGCGAGGTGTGTGCATATTATTAACAATAATGAGTGATCCTGCTGTTTTCAGCCCCATTGGCCTAGTTGGCTCTAAAACAATCTCAAGCAATTTTTTTTTCAATTACCAAAAACTCAATATTACAGTGAAGTATTTATTCACTCCTTAACTTAAGGTGTGTGACCCCCAAATTCCACTACCTCTGCTCCGCTGCGCTCCGCTCCGACACAAACGCCGGAGCAAAATCGGTCCCGTTGTAGTCAATCAGAGCAATTCCACTACTGCGGCCGTGCTCCGGCAGTGCGGCGCCGTGCGCCGCCCTCTGTTCCGGCATCAGGCAAAAATAGAATCGATCCTATTTTCGCCGGAGGCCGGAGCACCTCCGCAGTAAATGGACAGAAATCACAACGGCCCAACAGGAAAAGGAGCGAGCACAATTTCCGTTTTTCACAATAAATCGATAAACAAAAGGCGTTTTTTGTTTCATATGCACAGGTTTAACAACTTTTAACAACTATCAATGGCGGCTGAAGTTTAAATGCACAAAAGTAAGCCATAAATACAGTTTCTACTATCAAAGTAGTCACACTTTGTTGATCCAAACACTGCTGATCTGTCAACACAAATGATGGGCAGATTAAACAGCTCATTTCGATGCTTCTCCCACACAACGGGTGTTTGGATCTAACTTCCGCGTTTACTGCTCGGACTGCATCGCAAGATCTCGAAAATCCTGCGCATGCTTGTTTGCCCCCCTCAGGTTTCCGCACCGGAGCGGAGCCGTTGTAGAGCGGGTACCAGTAAAAATTGAGTTCGGAAGCGAGCGGCTGCGGAAGGCGGGGGCGGACCGGAGCGGAGCGGAGGTAGTGGAATTTGGGGATGACTCGTCTTTGCTAGTCAACCAGAATCTTCTGGCGGTGATTCAAAGCTGGCAACACCCATGAAACTCATGAAACAGGAGTGAGAAACTGATTTGTGTGTTTGGAAAATAGGCTAACCAAATTGGACCACAGGATGTCATTCTTACTTAATTTTTACATAATACACCTTTAACAAAAGCATCCAAAATAAACTATTACCATTTATAGTTTTTTGGGTGAGTCTCAGTAAGATGTATTTAAATTATGATTAATTTGTTCAATTATTGTAGATTTATTTATTGTCTTTTACATTCATGTCTTGATTTAAGAAGATAAATGTGGTTTGTGAACATGAATATAATTTATTAAGGGGGAATCTATCCAGCGGGGTGGCCAGCAACTTTCCAGGGATGACCATGGACCCCCCCCTGGCCACCCCTTGGGGGCCACACTGCCTTTAACAGCAAAGTCTGCCTCATATATCAAGGAAGTTCATTAACATACCACATGATTTTCCTGATGCAGCAGTGCTGACCACCTCACTGGTACTGTATGGTCACACACCATTATGTGGTTTTACTTCATTTACTCATAGTACGAATAAACCGGGGGAAATATTACTAATCTATCATGTAAGTGGTGTTGTGTAAACCAGGAAACAAGTATCAGCATAAAACTAAAATAATACAGTCAGCTGACCGGTGAGAATCAGCATGTAATCATAATAACCCTTCTGATTTTAGTCCATAAGGATATTAAGAGGTTTTTTTTTTAATTATAGAGGAGCGCATTCCCACAACATCCATTAAAGGAATGCCTTGCTAATTTTAAACCCTCGCAGCAGGCATTGGCATCTAGAGAAGAAAAGTGGATGAGTTTCTCTTTAACAGCTGTAATTTGTGTTTTCCAATCACCATGCTGATTTCTGCTCATTATACTCTGGTTTCACACCGGTAAGTGAGCAAAGTTTGGATTGATTGACTCTAATTAACTAAAAAATGTTCCAAGCCACAGATTTATTATCATGCTAGCTAGCCACAAATGTCAGAGAGTTTCACAAATTATTATCCTCTTAAGATAAATATCTTTGAAATCAAACGAGTGGAAACACGGGGGGCACGTATTGTTGTGCTGATGAATTTGTTTGTCATTTTTTTCTGCTGAGCTCAACGTGAAAGACTTCACCTGGGCAAACAACCGGTTCCGGTGTGTTGTTAAAGTGTGCAGTATGACCGGCTGACAGATGCTGTAGTTACTAAAGTTTGCAGACACACACTCCAAAAATTACACAAATACACAAACACCAGACTGAATGAGCAATGTGTTTGTATTAGAATGCTTAAATTAAACTCAAATAAAAGTAACAAAGAGGCTGTGTTTCCTGGGACATCAGAACAGAAAACCTGTCCCCTCAGCTCCAAAACTTGGCAGCATGTCCCTCATTGATATTTTAGACACAGTAGCACTTCTCTCGACTCAAATTCTTCTCTTGACTCCATCGGCTCCATGGCTCAACTCCATGCTTTCTCCTAAACAAAGACCGGACGTTTGGAAAGGACACCTCCACTTTCCCCCCACTTTGAAAAATACCTCAAAGCAGAATTTGGTTTAGCCGGAGGAGACAGAAGCGTTGCTCTGATTCACTCAGATTCACCTCAGTGATCAAAAGTGATTACTGGGGTGAATCCAAACGAAACGGACTCATCGCCTGCATGGTGGCGCCAGGCTGAAATGGAGAACCGTGTTGCCAGTAAATCAGATTTTCACAACATGTCTCTTGCAAAATATGCCTTTAATGCAAAACTACAAAAAATATCTCATATCTTGGCTTTAATCTATCACAGGATGCAAACAGCACAGCAAGGGTTTTGCTGTAAATTCTATCCACAACCTGAAACAAGCGTCAAATATGGAGGAAAATACGTCTCGGCTGTCAAGCCCTTCTCATTAGTACTTCCACAGTCAACCCTGTATCGCCATTTTTAGGTGAGTGCACTTTGAGGCACGCTTGCAGATAAATGTGATGACACTCAGTTGTGGCTCACTTTCATTTATTTAGGGGATTGATTAGATGCATGGTGGGCAGATAAATATGATGTGGAGGCACTTTCATTTCAGATGTTGCAATAGTCAGTAACGGATGGGAAAAATATGAGATGGTCTGAACATTTTTCTGGTTCAGGTGCTTTGAAAGGAGTTTGTCGCATCACAGCTTTCCAAGCAGACTACCACACTTTTATTATCAAATTAAATGTCCTGTATATTTGTATTTTCATAATAATACAAGTGAAACTTGAAAAATTACAATATGGTGCAAAAGTCCATTTATTTCAGTATTTCAGCTTAGACTGTGAGACCTTCTAAAGGCTCAGGAACCCCTTTGGATACATTAGCTGATTAGAGTGTGACACTTTGAGCCTAAATTTTTGAATGTGGAGTTTTTCATAAGCTGTAAGCGACAATCATTACAATTATGACAAATAAAAGCTTGACATATCTGTCTTGCATGTAATGAGTCATCTCATGTATTAGTTTCCCCTTTTAAGTTGAATTAATGTGTAATGGTATGAAATGACTGTTTTCCACCAAAAGTCATTTTCCCCCTCTCCTCTGACACAGAAATAGTCTGCATGAGGCATGGCCTCAAGGTCTCATGCATTTGTTATAAATTGCTTCTTTCCAGCTCAAGAGAAGAATGAAGAATAGACTCTCTCCTTTTAATAAATCAAAGAACTCTATTTTAATAAAGCTAATCAAACAGTTAGTCAATAAATAACATGTGACCAATCAGTGAAATCTAAATATTAATTACTTTATTATAATCCTATAGAATATAATAAGTAATATGACTTTAAATGTTTCCACTAGGACTGATCTCACGTAGCGTCAAGAGACGACACATTGCTTTACTGATCCAATCAGAATCTGCCAGATCTGACAGAGGCGTGGTTTTGGTGGTGTTTGGTAAATCTGTCAACTTTTCATTCGACCATAAACCAAAACATCCGAAGTATAAAACTATGCCCACGTCATCTCTAACGCCAGTTCAAGGCGTTCTAGAGAAGTTGTCGGAGTGGCCAATCCGTAACTTTCCTCTTCAGCCAAAAGAACCAACGACAAGCTGGATAAACCTGTTGCTGTTCCAACTGCTGAAACGGTTCCTTTCAGAATAAAAGCTGAACCATCAAGACCCAGGTTTGGGTCTCAGTAGATGCCAACAAAACCAACGTGACCCGGAAGTATCTCAAGGACTGGTCTGGTCGGCAACCGCTGCTTTTCCTACCGGCTTCGGTTCCAGAGAGAGTCCAGCTGGACTTCGACATTCCTGATCTAACGGTGACTTCCACCAGAGTATGTAGGCCGACGGAATGGCGTTGAATGTATTTATGAATCTCCTAACCAAAGCTTAACGCGAAGACATCACCTTCATTTCCCATCAGAATTAATGCTTCTTCAGATTTGCTGGTTCTGAGCAACATTTCACATCGCACCATTCTCAGTCTCATCCACCTTAGTTACACCATACATTTAGTGTTTAAAGTTAGTCTAGTTTAATTTGTTTAGTAATAAATTTTTTAACGTTTAAACTTGACTCTCTCTCTTCTGTTGTCTCTGAGTGAGTACGAAGCTGTTATCTAATCTCTGCAATAAAAAGTTCCAATCTTCTGGTTAAAATAACCCAACAGATCCATAAGGTTGATTTCATATTTTCTATGGAATCCTACGTCTTATGACTTATTAAATAACAAGTAATTTAAATTCATTACAAATGAATTAAACAAGCTTTTGTATGATATTCTAACTTTTCAAGTTTCATCTGTGTGCTTTCAAGTTCAAAAGCAATGCCTAAAACCCCCAAAACTGATTTTTAGGTTAAGACAACAAAACGTTTCATTTTTTTCTGCTTAAAACAATTATATGATTTCCACATCACCTGACGAAGCTTCCTTTTATGTAAATGAATGCCATGTAAATGTAATGTTGACATAAAATATTAGACCTTGAAACGAGTTATCCTTCAGATGTTGTCGTGTACATACTGCCCCCTTCTGTTACCACTAGTAGGTCAGACATCTGGCTAAACAAGCAAACAAACAAACAAACAAACAAACAAACAAACAAACAAACAGACTGCATCTCTATTGACAGTCTAAACAGATGAATGTATGTAATCTCATTTCAGTCATTTTCATTGGCACCATTAAAACAAAAATAGTTTATTTCCATTAAAAGGTAATTAATTAAATGTATTCTTTTTTATTACATGTATTACAGTTGTGTTTAACAGCATTCTGTACTTCACCTTTCATGCTCTTATCAAAAAGACACTGTTCTGTATCATTTTATGACATTTTTTAAATACCATGAAACCAAAAAAATCAATTTTCTACAAGAACTAAATATGATTCAGTTTAGAAACCAAATTGAAAACAGAGTTTCCCCGGGGTTCTTTAGAAAGCCAGTGGATAGCACACACACAACATCCTTTTGTGCACACTATTTACCCCTGGATTGCTTCAGGCTAATGTCTCAATAATTTTCACTCCTTTCTCAGGTCCTTCCCACAAAGGACTTAACTAATGATCCATGGACAAAATGAAGCATTTAAATTTATTCATTAATCATTCATCTACAGCTCATTGAAAATGCTAAACTTCCACAAAATTAAGATTGAATATTGAAAAGTGATTGAGGGAGACAGCTTTCAGAGAGGGTAGAGAGTTGAGGAGTGAGGGGGGTGCCATAACAAAAAAAATAATTAATAAAAAATAATATATATATACATATAAGGTCCTTTCAGAAGACACCAGTGTCCACTTGGACATGGTCAGAGTGACCAAGGTGTACTAAGTGCTAGTTAAGGTCACGAGGCTTCACTAGTTGTAATTAGATCTTGGAATCTGGAGGAGCGTAGAATTTCTGTCAACACTGCCTGTAATTATTCTCTTTTCCAATTAATGGTGACATAGATTAATTATCTGATGAGGCAAAGCCAATTGCAATCATTCACCCAGCTAAAATTAGATCAGTCCTGACAGCAGCATGAAAGTCACCTGTTTCATTGTTATGGATCTGCAGCAGGAAAAGAGGAGGAGGATAGTGAAGCATGCTGGAATAAGTAAGTTGTCTGGTACAGGTGAATGTCCAAATTACACTGCTGTTTCAGCTGCAGGCATCTACTCTTCCAGTCCTGCAGCTCTCACACTGGCCTGTTTGTTCTCTTCCCCATCATCAGCAGCAGGGCCATCTTCCAGGGACTCCAGGAACGCTGAGATGTGCTGAACTTCTTCTGACAACACTTCCTGTTTGGGACATGTAGAATACACAAGAACAGGTTCATTTGCATAGCGTTACATTTCTGTCTGTGCACCCTACCTTCGGCTGATGAGTCTGCTGGTGTGAGAGAAATTTCCTCACCTTGTCCTTAATTTTGTAGGGAAGCAGAACAACACTCCTGGTGAACTGCATCCAGGTTCAGTGCTCCTCTGCTTTAAAAATCTCAGCATCCAGTTTTTCTATTAAACCGCCTGGCAGTGTCAACCAGCTTGGGAATCTGAAGCGGCCTGGCCATGCAGAAATTCTCTGACTAACAATTATATCAGAAACAGGATCTTGGATTACTGTCCCCGGGGACAGGGGCAGTGGGCGTCTGCTCCAATCATTACTGGCCAGTCAACAAGGCTCTGCACTGCTCTCTGCTGTTAGCCATTGTCAATTATGCCATCCCTTGTGTAAACTCGCAGAACACAAAGCTGAACTGCCAGTTCTGGCAGGAGTGTAACAGGATGACAGCCCGCCACCCCTCCTCTCCTACCCCCCACCCCCACCCTTGGGTTCCCCACCACTCTTTCCCTTAAGCTAGTTTTTGAGGAAAACTGCTGTTTGGCGTCTGTAAGTGCAAAGCTGACCTTTCTTATGTTCTGCTTGCGGGGTTAAGTGGACATGATGGATTAGTACAGGCCTCATCAGGACTCAGCCTGGTTTATCCCCAGCTCCAGTCGGTATCAGTTCCATTGATTTCCTTATCCCTTTTTCATAAACAGGAAACTGATATTGATCATCTGCTTCATTTTCTTAAAGTCTTCCCATTTAGCTTCAGCACTGTTAAAATACTGATTGCATTGCGAGTTCAGTGTCCAGCTCTTCATTTTAGAAAGTTCTGCAGAGTGTGTGCTTTTGCATCTTTAAAAACTCCCAACAAATTTAATTTTTTTGTCCTTTTCTTCGTCTTGCAAAGGTTATTTCTTCGTGTGAACATTTTGGAGGACAGACCCTGTCCTGCACTCATCTTGAGAAGCCTGTTTAAAGTGAGTGCTGCTTGCTCTGATGGAACCTGTGCTGAGCTGTGACGGGTGACGGTGCGCTGCACTTCAATACACCAGCTCTTTTGTCCTTCACACTCTGCAGCTCTCTGATAGCTCCTCCCCCTGTGCCCCACTACTCCCTGCCTTGAGCAGTGATCTGCTGTGGGCCTTTTGAGGCTGGGCTGCTGAGAAACGGCTGCTCCCTCTAATGTTCGGACCGGACCCTTCAAAATGCATGTCAGCAGTTGGGGGGACAAGGAAAAGGGACAGAAACCTTATTTTTCACTGTATTTTCACATTGTGTAACATTAACATAACTGACTGAATCTGTTTGAATCACTACCTGCAGCTTTGCAGTGCTGCATGGTTAAAATAAAGATTACCATAAGTAAAAAGTGGAAGTAGTTCATAACACGGCTGCATGCCCCCTGGCTCAGGACTTTTCATAAAGATTCATCACTGTCCCTCTGTCCGCTTTGACCTCATCGCACATCACAGCACAGATTAGACACCGATTATCCTCTAATTGAAGATCCCTACTTTTCAACCTTGCTGAATATTCTCCCACACATGTGGAAAACAGGCAGAAGTTAACGTTCACAGATAACAACGTTTAAAGACACAGACAGTCCTTGTTGTGTAATAAACTCCCCAACACGTTAACTGTTAAAGGGGGCATATTATGACTCTTTTCTTAAGTTATAATAGTTTGGTAGTACACAAAAAGCAATTTCATTGTTTATATATATATATATATATATATATATATATATTTTACATTTTCAGTACCTTCCAGAATGAGCCTTTTCAGGGCTCTGTCACTTTGAGAAAGCAAGCTGGAGCTGGCCACATCTACCAACCCATCCCCCACTAAGGCTGCTATAAGCTAAGATGCTCCGATATCCTGAAACGGCCAGGAAAAGAGCCGCTGCTCCTGCAGTTAGGTGAAACAAGAGTGCGTTCTGGGCTAATTTCCCAGTTTGTGACATCACAAACAGAGACTTTTTTTAATTGGCGCATTTTAGGCACATCATTTTTAAAAGAAATGGATGGGTTTTTATCACATTTGGAGTGTTCATAGAGGCAGTAGAGACCGCCATGGCAGCACAAAGTGTTACAAAAGGTGGCTTTTACATAATGTGTCCACTTTAAGTCAAAATCACCTTTGATAAACAGAAAATAAGCACAAATGCATTGCTGCCAGACATGGTTTGTGTATATCAAGCTATTAAGAGAAGCAGATCCATCCTCAGACAAAAAAAAAAAAAAAGAAATCCCTCAATAGGCAGTCTCATATAATTTATCATATGATGTAAACGTATGGAGTGTAATAAAAGTGGTGTCTTTGACTCCACCACCGCAGTGAGGTGTGACTTTGTGGTGGATATTTGCCTGGCTGCTCTTGCTTGGCATAGAAAGACACAAGGCTAGCTGGATGAGGCTCAAACAATGCAGAGAAGAACATGGAGTCACTGTAGTATGGAAAAGAAAATGCTACCATCTGGTAGTATACCTACACAGAATAAAAGTTGTCTAAATGGATAAGTGTTGGTGCATTTCCCCCTCCCCCAGGCAGCTTTTACATGTATATGAGCAAATACCTGGGTCGTTTTGATTTTTTGGGCGGTTTCTTGGGAGAGATCCTGGCAGCGATCCAGTTCAGCCAGGCTTTCGAGGTTGCGTTGTTGTAAGTATTTTTCCAAAGCTTTGTGCATCCTCTTCTGGAACAAAGAGAGCTAGAGGGAGAGAAGGCAGAAAAAAGGGATTGGTAAGGCAGGAGAGGAAATTAATGGCAGTGTTCAAGAAGAATGATGGAGGGGAATAGAGAAAGCAGTCAATAGCCCATTCTGCAGTACACGGGCCTGACAGGAATTTCACAGTCTTTTGGTTTCTCTGCCCACTCGTGTGTACTCATCAGAATCCAGTCACATCTGGCTGCCAGGATGGGGGGTTAATTTTCTCTAAATGCTTCAGCAGTTTTGTTCTAGCCGAGGCAAACTCTGTGACTGCAAAGCTGATGAGTAAAATATTTCTACTTCACCCAGTTTAACTTTATACCAATCCCCTCAAGACATATTTTACACATACACACAAAGTCATGAACCCCCCACAGAAACCAGAAATTATTCCTAGTCTCTTGGAAAGACATGCTGCTTGCTTTATTATTTGAACAGTTTCAAGCAAAGAGGTTTAAATTCTGATAGATGCCACTGCTTCTCTTCCCCCTCCATCTCTCCACTCTTGGTACAAAGCTTATCATTGCTTGGCAATGTGTTCCCCAGTGCATTAAAAAACTAAAGTGAATTAGCTCAGTCATCAGCTCCTGAAGGAAAGACAATAACACAAACGCTCTTTATGGTGTAGCCTGTTAAAACCTAAGAGCTTCACATAAACGGGGGAATGTTAACACGTGCAGTCTATTCTAAAGGGTTCGGATGAAAAAACCCTGCAGATCTAACAAATCTGACACTAAACATGCATTTTTTATTAACAAATGAGAACCTTGAGTTATTTACTTTGAGACTCAAAAAATGAAATTAATTGAATTTATTTACCAGAGCCTTTAAAAATAACTATAAATGTGTCTTTTTTGTTTATTAACCTTAAACATCTGTATATGTGTTATATTGTGACAAAATACATTTTCTGTATCTGACATAACTGAAATTATTGTATTAAACCTGTATCCAGTGCTGCTGTCCATTTTCTGCTATTAAAACTCTTAACTGTTGATTTTTAATTGATGCATACCATTAGAGGTGTACTATGGTAAATTATTTATTCTGCTGTGCTTCTACACAGACTAATTGTGCACTAATATATGGTAAACAGAGTATTTGGGTCATTATTTATTACAAGTTGTAAATATTAACACACTTTTGTAGGTCCTTTGGGGATTTAAGGGTACATTTATTTCTGACACGCTGATGGGTGACGTTTTAAAGACGTGTTTAGTGGAGAAGAGCTAATTCTAACTGTTTTATAGAGCAGCGTGTCATTTAATAAATCCATATTGTCTCTGAAATATTTGTTCAAAATGTAACGACTGACTAGCCTAGAAGTCTAGAAAAACATGTGCAGCCTCAACAGGTCCACCGCTGGCAGTTTAACACCTGTGGTGCGACGAAGAAAAACTACAAAGATGGCGTCAGCTCAGGAACAGCGCTCATAGGGAGCCTAAGTCTCCTCCCCTTCCGGTCGGCTCGTGGGTCCCCAGAGTAATGAAAAAATGAATGCAAGTCACCGGGGCTAAAAGAGCTATTTTCTAATCTGCTTTGCCTTGGGCCCTGGATCGCACATCTGTTGTACTTCTAATTAACTGAAAAGTAACGATGGGTATTTCGACCACGCCTGCCACGTACTTTGAGATTTATCAGCTTGTAAAAGTTTGTATTTAGCATGATTATAAACCAGGCATTGTTGCATATATGACGTCACCACAGAATCTCCTCTCCCCTAACGTAGCTGCTACTTACCAAATGGTCAGATTTATGGTGGTTCTTGCCTTCTGAAGGAAGGACTTAAAGTTTGTTGAACTTACAGCCATTTCCCCTCTGTTAGTCTCCGTGTCTGGTTCGATGACCTCACATTGATGATGCTCATTTGTAGTCCTGGACTTATTTTCACACAAAACCTAAAATAACGTTTCCCCCCATTTGAAAATAAGCTTTTTTGGTATCAAAATGTGTCTTTCAAATTCGCGGACATCATATGTGAAATCCATGGCACATAACAAGCAGAATTCATTTTAGCCCCATTGACTTGCATTCATTTTGTTCTTCCAGGGACCCATGGTCCGGAAGTAGATGGGTGGGACTTAGGCTCCCTATGGGGTCTATGGGTCGTAGCCTGACTATATTTACATATAGAAGATGGCTTGCAAGGCCATGCTGACAGTTTACCTTTTATTTATAGTGGAGTAAAGGTATAAATACAAACAAATGGGCAAACTCATGATTTTGTTGCAGTTTCAAAGTCACACGAAGCATTCACTGTTTTTAGTGTGTGGTTGACAACTACTGTACAACCCCGCTATATTCCTTAGAAGTTTGTTGTTAATTTCAGCCCAAGTCTGTGTTCAGCAAACAAACCAAATGCATGTTTGCATATTAAAGCTCTAAAAACGTGCAAAAGGTTTCACATGTAAAAATATATTCAGAGCATAGTAGCTGCATCGTTATATCATACAAACCTGTCATTTGAACACACACATAATTATCTGATCTCTCAAATGAACCTGATCATGTTAAATGTATTTAATTTGTTGTTGAAATGTATAAACTATCAAAGTCGATGTACTGTCTATAGTGTTACAACTTGAGGAGAATAATTGGAGACAAAAGAAAGGTCAAATAATCAGAAGCTTGTTATGAAACTAAAATCAGGCATAAAACAGAAACAGGGGGGCAGTGGTTGCAAAATTGCAGTTGAAACAAACAAAAATGGAGAAGGCTGAATCCGGAGTAAAAGAAAATCAGGCTTTGATCATGAGCGTGGAAAATCCTGTCGAAACAGGATTTTATTTTTGCATGCATTCCTCACTTGATAACATTCATGCAGTTAGATGAGGAATTGCTCAAGTAAAGGTATTAGTCATTTTTGGAACAAATAATACGTGTTTTTTCACTGCAGGAGCAGTGTGTCTTCCTCCATGGTTGCCATGTGTAATTCTATTCTAGTTAAACGAAGTCAAAAACTATAAAGATTAAAAAAGTAAAGGTTAACTAGTCAAGTGCAGTTTTGGTGAATTTGCTGTTGATTTGCTAACAATCGATGCAGTAAAAGTAAAAATAAAAGCTTTTACCTCTGTCTACCTCACAACGCTTTAAGCCAAAAAACATACAAGTATCATCAACCTTTTGCTCTACCACCCTTGGAGGAAAAGATCCACTGCTATCATGACCTGAAGTTACACCCATCATCATCATCATCCTCCCTCGTCTAATCATTTATAGATTGGTGCAGTCACCTCGTCACTGAATGCAAAATATATTTTTTACATTTCTGTGCAGGTAGAAAGCAAGACAGCATTTAAGGGTGAATAACACAAAAATAACGGAAAAAACGTTCAATCAAGGCTTTGTTTACTTTTGTATAGTACTGATCCATTTCCTGAGCATGGTTCTTCTCCGTCTGTGCAGACACTAATTCTTCTCTGGCTTCCAGGAGAATCTTCTGAATACCTTCGTAGTCTTTTGCTAGTTGTTTGTTTTCAATAAGGGCTTTTTTTAGTGCTTCCTACAAAATGAAAAGAGGTTTTTCTTAATTTTCAAATAATAAAAATTGCATTTACAGTATTAAAGGTGCATTAACCCTTTGATGCATGATGGTCACTACAGTGGACAGGTACTCAAAAATGTTATTTATTTATTTTTGCTATTAAGCACAGCTGTTGAAGACTTTATTGCATGTGAGCCCCTCCATTTGGACTTCAGTAAGTCAAGCCAACATATTTCATGTTCAGAATGCACGCTGTCCACTGAGATGGACATGTAATAAAGTATTTGTAAATTAACAAAATGTTACAAAAAATATTTGTTGAAATTTGTTTCATTCACACCTAAAGATGAATGAAAAAAAACTGTTTAAAAAATCATGGTTGAAGATTTCATAATTCATGCATCAAAGGGTTAAGTAAGAATGACATCCTGTGGTCAAATGTGGGTACTGCAGTCCATGTTTCAAAACAAATGACTCCACTCTCAGCGCTCCCACGCCTACATTTCACTGTAATATCGAGTTTTGGTAATTCAAAAAGTAGCTAAAGCTATTTTTGGTTACCATTGTTAGCTCAATGTTAGCCTCTTGCTTTCTGCACCCAATAAAAGCATAAACCAAAAATATGCGGTGGCTTCATAGGGGTGCAAGAAACAACTTCTGAGTCACTTCTGCCATGTAGAATTGCCTACAAGTGTTAGATCCTACTATTCAAGATGTGATCTGCTCTTTCTAGGATGTAAAATACAGCTTTCCCTGTCATGAGCCAAGGTGGGTGAGTCCATAAATGCTAAATGCTGACAGTGTGACGTAGATCTGTCTGGCTTTCCGGAACCGTTTTTTCCTTCTATTTTCTATCAGAAGCTATTGCAGGGACTATTTTCACATTAATCCTGAACGTTAAACTCAGAGTGACTGATAAGTTTTGAAACTTATTAAGTAAAAAATAGTTTCTCTGTGGACTTGGTCTTCAAATAAAGAACTGTAAATAAACGACAATGGACACTTTCCTGTAAAATCAAGCCGATAAATCACAGCGAGTATCACTTTGTCTGCATCCCTTTTCCCCTCTGAACCATGTTTTCTGAGTTCTGGATGAGGGGGGATGTGTGAATATCTCAACTCTACCTGCAGACATAATGAAGTGTGTCTCTGCAGTAAAACAGAACAGCACTAAAGTGATGAGTTTAACCCAGCAGAAAGAGGGGCTGTAAACATGACAAATGCCTGCTATTGATTTCAGGTTTAATTACTCCATGCAGCACTGACAAAGCCCATCTGATGCTGTTGTGAAGTGTAAATGGAACAAATTACACTTCATTGCCCATAAGAAACTGATAGCGTCGGCAGTTTGCATTGTTTACTTTGTCCTCGCCAAACGACGAGGCCTGATCAAATAAAAACATACGTGCATGCTTGAACGCTGAAATCCTTTTGCACATTCACGGAACGAACAAATAACAGCAATTCTGTTTTGCGAATTCATTCATTTCACATTATTTTTGTTTCATATAAATAATAAAATAAAAATTATTACAATATAAGGCCAGAAATAAACTTCCAACAGAACCTGCAATAGTTTGTGTGAAACAGAGAAGCTGTGGTCAGCATATTTATTAGATTTTTCATATTTGAAGGTGTCTAATCATTCTGCTTCATGCACTGTGATTTCCGAATGCACACTCCGCTTATTATGTTATGCTAATATAGACATTATGTGTGCTTTATATTGGTCTCAGTGATTAAAGTGACCCATTTCCTCTGAGCCTGAGATTCTCTCGGATCTTTTTTATTTAGTGAGGAGTATTGTTGTTGTGTCACCTTATTTCTTGGAGTGAAAAAAGACTAAACTCCTTTTTGCATGACTAACTTTTATCTGGCTAATGGGAGTTGTGTCTATGAGGAAGACTTCTAATTCTTAAATTGTCTCACGCCAACAACTTCTTTAAAGTTGCTGCACTTGGATGCATGGCGGCTTAAGCTCCATTGCCTTTTCTTGTTTTGAACTAATGCATTCTTGATCACCGTTTAATGAAACTATATACCACATGGCGATTTCACATTAGATAAGCCATGTGAAACCCCCATCAGCAAAGAGGCTCTGGCTGGGGCTGATAATCCTGCAGATGAAAACCTTACAATAAATAGGATAGAGCTTCTCCTGCAAAAAAAATAGGCCGTTCAAATGCTTTTTCCTGCAGAGCGGATTCATGTTCCTAGCAGCTCCTTTCATGATATAAATAAGAAAAGCTTACTTTAGTGAGCTGTACGTTTACAAGAAAATTGCTTTTAAAAACATTGGCCTACAGGTAACAAAAAGAGGCGCAGCATCTCACCGCGGCATGCATCATCAAATTCGTCCAGACAAAAAGACTACAACAGCAGTGAGTTGTCATTTGTGGCAAAAGCACTTAAACGAGATTGACCATGGCTTGTAATTTTAATTGCATGCTGCTCTTTTCTCCGTATCTTAAGGGACATATTGTAACAAGCAATGTGCTGACACTAATCCAAAAATAAATAAACAGTAGGATTTTTTTTTACTGACTTTGGATCATCTGACTCAAAAAATTCACATTATTTACAGACACGTTTACCTTGGTGTCTTCCATTTGCTTTATTCTTGCTTGAAGATGAGGCGTCTGCGTGAATCGCTGTGTTTGTCGTTGGCGGTTTTTAATGTCAGATTTCAGTGTGCTCATTGTTTGAGCTGTTGATCTGTTTTTGGACTCCAGCACATTCAAATCTTTTCTGCAACAAGACATTTAACACAGAACTTTATTTGATTTTGCAAATTCAGTAACACTTTACAAAAATGGTTCCTTTATTAATGTTACTTAGTGTATTATTAAGCATTAAAGAGACAATATGTTGTTGTTTTACCTTTAATCTCTGGAAATATCCATAAAAATTTGGAAAATGAATTAAAGTTTAAGTCCCATTAGTTGTCACACACACTGATGTGTGTGTGAAATTTGTTGTCCGCATTGGACCCATCTCCTGGGGGAGCAGTGAGCTGCAGACACAGCCGTGCTCGGGAACCATTTGGTGGTTTAACCCCCCAATCCAACCCCTTAATGCTGAGTGTCAAGCAGGGAGGCATTGTTGGTCCAATTGTTTCAAAGTCTTTGGTATGACCCGACCAGGAATCGAACCCTGCTCAGGCCGGACACTCTACCACTAGGCCACAGAACTGATGATGGTTGAAAAATATTGGCAGCTTTGCAACATATAACCGTAAAAATTGGTTCTACAGAACATGGAGGCTGGTCTAAGTCTCGTCTGGGCGACGCCATATTAGATGCAGTGTTTCCTTCTACATGAGACTGTGAGGACAAAACGCATTTACTGATTAGTAACAAGCGGCTACAAAATGTTTACCATTCATAAACATTGCTGTTTTACACATTTACCTCTTCGCTCGTTGCCAGTGCTGAAAGTGAGTCTGATGTGCTCGTCATTTTGCTGGAGGTTGAATGATCTGATGAAGAATTTGTTCAAAAATTGCGCTCCCAGGATTTTTGACCCTAGAGGTCATCTGTTGAAAAGGTCTTACTCGAGCACAAAAATATCTTTTGCTCACAATGATTTAGGTATGTGCTGCCCCCTATCTCCAGGGAAAACACACAAACACACTTTAATAAACTGTTAAAGTATTAACAACTGTTTAACCATATTATGTGATGCATTACTAAACAGACCACCGTGGCCCGTTGTCCTAACCTTAAGGACACTTAGTAGTTAATAATGTAAAGGGACCCTTTGTTTATTAATGCTTAATAAATCACCAAGTAACACTAATAAAGGGTCACAACCAAACAGGGTGAAGCTGCCTTTAGCTACAATGCTGCACACTGATGGAATCAGCTTCCTCATGACCTCAAAAGTGCCCCAACTCTAGAAACTTTTAAATCAAAACTGAAAACTTTCATGTATTCATCAGTCTATGAACAACATTTTCTCATGCTGCACCTTCTGCACTGTCACTGCTCAGCTTTCCACTTTGTCTTTTTTCAGATTGCTTTTTTCTGATTTCTAAATCTGAAATTAATTTATGTACGTCATTTGATCTAAATTTATTTATGTATTTTAATTATGCAGTCACATTATTTTAAAGTTCGTGCTGTTCTTGCAACTGGAAAGCACATTGAATTGCCTCTGTGTATAGAACAAAGCTGCCTTGCCTTGCTTAATGTGAATAAAGGCACATTTTGTTTATTAATGCTTAGTAATTAACTAAGTAACAATAATAAAGGGACCCTTATTGTAAATTATTATCTTCTTGACATAGTTGTAAATTTTAGATGCATTACGTGAGCTTTTTATAAGAAAAGGTCTGAATTCTCCAGTATCGCTGAAAGCTTCCATACTTACAGAAGTTCTGCCACTATAGCCTGCATGCTTTTAACATTTCTTTCCATTTCATTTGATGCATCTGCATGATTTTCACTTTCTTTGATGAGGTCAGCGATCCTACCCAGAGTGATGTCATATCTTCTTACAGTTGCGCTGAGTGAATCCTGTAGATAAAGACAAGCAAGAATGTTTAAAGTTAAGTCTGTAAACCATGTTTTATTGACAGTTTAGACTAAGAAGTGATATTGTTCAACAGAAGATTAGTGTGATAAATAGCTGCGACTATCTTTGTGCGCAGCCAGCTGATTCTTCAGTTTTCCCTTCTTACCTGAGCAGCTTTTAGCTGGTCACATTTGAGATTGTTCTCCTTCTCCTGGTTGACTAACATTTCCTTGTGTTCACTCTGCAATTTCTTCAAATTTTCTAGCAATTTCTTAACATTCTAAGCAAAATAAAAAGAAATTTACTTTAAAATCATTTCTCGAATATCTGTAACATTCATGCTTTTCTGACTTAAAGATAGATAAGTTGTTGTACCTTAATTTTTGCATCTAGAGTATTTGCTGCTGAGGAAGATTCCTCAAATTCTTTCTGAAGCTGTTGGTTGATTTGGTCTGAATCATCCTGTTGCTTTTTTAGTTTGTCTTCAACAAGAGCACTCTGAGCCTGACGCAAAAGAAATTCACAAAAAGTCACAGAGATAAATTATTGCTTCAAAAACACACAAAACCTGGGCTTTAAAAATTTTTTTTTAAAAGGAACACAAAAAGGTGAAAAAAGTCACAGATAAAAGAAAAAAAACTGATTTTAATGAAAAGATTTTATTTAGAAAACTATTCAGATTTATTTAGATTGGTTTTCATCGTTATTGTTATTATTATTATTATTATTATTATTATTATTATTATTGTTGTTACTTTGTTCTGATTCACAACCGGTTTTAACTATAATCTGCAGGATCTGAAGCACCTGATAATACCTTTATCATTTCCAGAGCTGTCATCTTAATAGTGAGATCTCCTCTTAAGGATTTTATCTCTGTCTGCAAAGCACAAAAAAGAACCTAAACATACACCAGGCATTGCTGGAGGAAACAAGTGAGAGTTTTATCTGCCTTATGCTGTGGAACGCAGACAGACATATGTTGTCTCTGACCCTGGTCCTCTGTTCTTCCATGAAGGTGAGCTGCTCCTGTTCCTCCAGCTTAGCCTGGGTGACACTATGCCGGGGTAAAATGTGGGTCATTTCCTCTCTGGCCTTTTCCCACTGCTTGTCATTGTCACTGATTTTCCGGAGCATCTGCTTCTTCTCCTCTCGCATCTGCTTCACTGCCTTCTCACTAACCAATCACACAGAAAGGCATGCATATGGTATAAACACATGTAAGTGTTGCACTATGCAGTGTGTGCAGTGGTGGCATATTTTAGGGATTTATGCAAATTTCTCCACCCATTTGGCTTTGACTCCGTACCTCTTACTGATTTGCATCCTGCAGTCTTCTAGCTTCTGCTCATACTCCAAATTGTCATTAGAGACAGCTGCAAACGCGTCTACTTTTGATTGGAGCGTTGCCTCTGCACTAGAAACTTCTGTATCCCAAACAGGTTTCTGTGGTTTACATGCAGTAAGGATTGTGCAACCAGGAGACATTTCAAACATTCTTTACATGTAAATAATAATATTCATAAACCAGATAATTTCAGATATCCAGTGGCAAAATAATTACATACAAAATTTCCAATCTGCTGTGAAGCTAATTCTTTATTCTTTTGCAAGAGGTCCTCAATTTCAAGATTCAGTCGTGAAATCTGTAAAAGTAAGTCAACAATCGCATGTGATGAACATTGACCAAACAAAATGAAAGTAAAGATTTTAAAACAAACACCATGACTCACCCTGTCTTTTTCTACACCTTCAAGCGCCACAATTCCACAGATTTGCTGAGTCGTTTCTGTGTCCTTTTGTTCGGTAAGAGCGATGGACGCCTCTGCATCCTTCACCTCCACCAGTAGATCTTTTTCAAGTCTGATCAACTGCTCTAAATTTCTCCTACAGGGGTTAACAAATGTTTTAAATGACTGGTCTGTTACAGTATTACAAATCCATGCTTTTATTCTACATTGGATGAATATGCTGCTGAATTCTGTACTGGACTATTCTACCTCTTCTATGGTAGTCTTCATACAGTCTGCTTATTATTGCATATGTGTTTTATACTGTTTTATGTCCTCCTCAGGATGCTCACTGCACAAATGGCATGGGACTACATATGTAACTAACTCTGGTATGTTTCGGCATGACTGATATTAACATGCACTGTCCTGATTATTAAATAAATAAATACAATTTTAAAATTAAGTGTTACTGTTGACTTACCTGGCTGCTTTCTGATACAAAAAGTATATATAAATCATATGTTTTAAGCTTTTGATGACATTTTAAACTATTTTTGTTTGAATGAGTATTTGGCAGTATTCCATTAATTACTTATTTAACACCTAAGTTCAGTACAAACTCATATCAACTGTATTTCAGTGGTGAAACCAGACATTTTCCCATCATTTAAGAGATACTCACGATGTCTGCACTAGTTGATTTTTTATGTCAGTCAGCCCGTTAGTCAGCAACACCTTCTCACTTCCAGCATCAAATTCCATTTGTTTAAACTCCCTCTGAGCCTGGAGAAGGTCCTGGTTGGTTTTAGAGCAAACTTCCTCTGCCTAAAAACATTGTGGTGCAAAGAGACAACTGTGGTCTTGTTATACTGTTCATAAAAGATAACTTAAAGGCATTTGTATTAAATAAAATATATAACTGTAGAATTAAACAAGCAAAAATGCATAGTTTCAGAGATCAAAACATTGAAATAAATATCAGAACAAATATAAAAAATTCTAGAAAGACTAGATGAGGGCTCTGCAACCTGTGGCTTTCTGGACCTTCTACAATGGCTTGTAATAACTTTGGGTAGAAACGATAAAAGAATCCAGCTGATAAAACATCTCGCCTCTGATTGGATAACAGCAATGCGACTCTACCGTTGGCTCTGCGACATGGACGTTTTATTTCCACAAATAACACAAGTCTAAAGGAGCTTCTGTGGTTGAGTTGCTAATGCTAATGGTTAGCTTCTGCTACCTGAGATGCTTTCTGCTGATGGATGCTAAAGCAACAACAGCCTGCCCTGTTGCAAGCCAAGATGAGTGAGTCCATGTGGCTAAAGTTTCACCATCTATTTTCGGTCAGGAGCTAATGCAAGAGAAGGGTGTAGGAGACTATTTTCATGTTCAGCCTGCATGACAAACTCAGTGAATTATTATGATCAGAAATAATAATTAAAAATGGATTTTCTGTGAACCACACATTTAAAATTTTATACCACAAGAATAGCATCCTCCAAGCAACCAAGTTCTTTGATTCCTCACATGTCAATAATAATAAAATCATCTGGTTTGACTTAAGATAAAAAAATAAATTAATTAACTTGTTGAATCTCTTAAATAAACTAACAAAAAAAGCCTATAAATGCATTTTGCAAATTTGGTCACTGACCATGATAAATAACTGACTTCATGTGTAACCTGCTGTAATGAATTAACACATGTTAAATGTTAACAGCCTGTCTGCGATAATCTTGTGAGTTAGTCACTTTTATATTAATACATAAATAAAACAAAGCTTTACCTTAGCTTGGGCTTCCCTGATCTGATTTATGATGCCTTCCTGGACTTTCAGGTTTTCTTTCACAATGGGAAGTTGTTTCGTGGCAAACTCGATGTCTTCCTGCAAGCGTTGGTTCAACTCCTTCGCACGCGAAAACTTCACCTGGACCTGGTCAACGTTGTCTGTTTCCATTTGCAGTTTCCACTTCAACTGTGCAATGTCTCTTCTGCAAGCCTCGTGCTCTGTCCCAAGCAAGAATCAATAATGAAAAACAAGTTTATCAGAGACAAATGGTTCATTTCACTGACAATGTGACACCTAACAGTTACTGACCTTTCTGAACAGCTTTAGAGTGCTCAGTTTGCCGCCAAACTGAAATATTGTCAACTTTAGTTTCCAAATTGATCCTTTTTCTTTTTTCATCCTGGAGAGCCTCCTCTGCTTGTTGTCGATCAGCCTCCAAACGCTCAATCAGATGCATCGCCTCAGAAAGAACATCATTCACTTTCTTCAGTAGGGGCAATTTTTGACAACTCTCTGTGGGGCAAATTCTTCAGATGAAACTTGAATTTACTTTATAAATTCAGGTATTTATTTATTTATTTATTTTGCTATGAAAATACTCCAAAGTGCAAATACAGCTATTGCGTGACGTCATAAGTATTGTGTTTACCTCTTACAGTTATTGCAAAGCCTTCAACATACAAATCCGAAACCGCAGAGTCTGAATCCGAGTCTGCAGACTGCAATCTGTTAAAAAATCAGCCACATTTGAGAATTTACACCTAAAACAGCTCAAACAAACTGAAAATAAAGCAGTTTAACAAGGTACCTCAAAGGTTTGCAGCATCTGTGATTTTCTTGATAACTCTCTGACTGATAATTTCTCAAATGGGGCTAGATAAACGGGGGAATGTGATTTAATTTAACCAATTTTAAGATAGTTGAGCTCCAAACTGACAGAAGTTTGCAGAAACGATATGTGATGATTGCTTACCTGTTGAGACCAGTTTTCCACAAGCCTCTTCATCTCTTGGATATGGGTAATAGCGTCGTTGACACATGGTGAGGGACTGTTGAGCAAAGCAGAAGTACGACATCTTCCAGAGCAGACAGCTTGAAGGTGTCCTTGATCTTGAGAATGAAAGAAAATATTATCGTATAGGAATCCATCTTTTTTTTTCCCCTTTTGTTCATCGTGCATATTTTTTTAAACTAAATGTACTTTTTACTTAAAAAATTCACAACAGTAATTTTTCTTTTGATTGGTTTGAGAAAAAAACATGTTTATTAGTATTTTAAGGAAAGGTTCCTCAGATGTATTTGTCTATGAAAGATAGGTGCTTGAATATTTTTATTTATTTTTGCATTGATTTCATTGATACAACCTTTAAAATTCTATAAAGCATCAATGAGTGGTGGGAAAATGTCTGAAGACAAACCCAAGAGCTGATTTGTTAGTAGTGAAAGAACGCCATCTGCCTGAAAATAGTGGAAAAACAAGGGCTGCAGTCCAGGAAAACACCATTGGAATTTGGTCTGTTGAGCATTTCATGAAACACTAGTCTAATATTACATTTGCTCATACACATCTTTTAAAAATAAACTCAAATAACTCTAATTAAAGTAATAACATCTTAACAAATTTTAGAAACATTTTTAATGAATATAAAAGGCTAAGCGGCTAAATGTGGCTTGGCCTTAATGAAAGAGTATTGATGGAAGTGAATTCAACTTGTTTCTTATTTTCTTTCCTCTTCGTATGTATCAGAACACTTTACCAGAAAATGGCTATTCAGAGCCTATAAAAAGGCAGAAAATCTACTAATGAGAAAGATAATTGAACTTTTACAAAAGCCAGTGTGTTGTTGCTTTTTGGTTTGTTTCATTTGAAAGTTATTTTTCTTTGGATTTATTTCCTAGATGTAAAAATAATACATGTTTTATATCATATTGTTTCATTAAGTTCTTAAATTCTGAGGTTAAGTGGAAATTTATTCCCTCAGTACAGCCAAAATGTCTCCATCATACATCATACATCAGTGATGTGAATGTTCCAGATGTTTATTCAATTCAATTCAATTCAAAAATACTTTATTAATCCCAGAGGGAAATTGATTGCTGTAGTAGCTCAGAATAATAATAAAAATCAAGTCGTCAAAGTGAACTAACAGAGAATTTCACTCTCAGACTGCAAGTTTTCTGGTGGTTCCTAGAATACCTAAAATTATGATGGAGACACATCTTTTAGTCATCGGGCTCCTCTCCTATGGAGCAAGCTCCCAGATTTAGTCTGTGAGGCAGACACCTTGTCTACTTTGAAGATTAGGCTTAAAACTTTTTGTTTAATTTTATAGAGTTTGTGGTTAAATCTGATTGATGTTAAGTCAAATGAAAAATAAAATTTTTGCACTTCCCAAAAATGTCCAGTGACTACAACAGCAGCCATACATAACACTTTAAAAAAAACATAATTATATTTGTTAGAATAAAAAGTCCAACTGAGTGGCAGCTTGAGCATTGGTCAGAACAGAGATACCTCTGGCTGGATTACGTTGCCATTACAGATCAGGAATACAAAGACTATCCATTTGTATCTACAGAAGTATCTTCACGACAGCTGTATGTTGGTTTCTGGTCTCAAAGTGTATGAGACGGTGTTCTGTAACTTTTTTATTCTGTAGCTGTTTTACACTGAAAACATTCTGACTAGCAGAGCAAGTGTGTAGCTGACTCAAACCGAAACCACCAAGGAACTAAGGAAGAAACACACATGAAGACATCTGCTGCTGAACAGCTTAGTTTAATTAAATACCTTGTACTCAAGGAGACTCTAACATCTAAAGTCATCTGTCTGTCATATTTACTCTGAGCTGCAGCGGATTAGTGTTAGATTTTCTTTGAGTGCATGTCCATGGTCTGAATCTGCCATGGCTAAATTAAAAAAGAAGAATTTCATAACAGATTTTTAAAAATTATGTTATGTTAAGAAATTATCATTATAAAAACTCTTTAAACAAGAAAACACTATGCAATATTACAAGACCTTGCAAGACATGTTAGCATTCATTAGTATGTCTTGTGAATGACTCTCAGCTATGGCCATCTGACATTAATTGTTTAACTGTTAACTGTGGTGGCCATCTTGAACTAAAATACAAACCAGTTGTAAAAGTACATGCAGAGATAACTTTCCGAGATTATCATTAAAACCCATCCAGTGCTTCATGAGATAATCTGCTAAAAACACACAAAACATCTCCCACCTTTCACATATAGGTGGTGGGCAATAACAATAGTAATAATAATAATAATAATAATAATAATAATAATAATACACTGGAGAAGAAAATAACTCAAAAAGATGATGAGGCAACATTTCAGTGTAAGCTTGGGTTAGATTCTGAAGAATAAAGCAAATCTAGGAGTTTGAGGGCCTGATAAATCTTGTTAGACCAAGGAAATTAAGATCCATGCATTCAATCCTTACAATTTGAGTTATTCTGCTTTTTCAGGAAAATCAATCAACTAATTGCTATTCTGGAATTACACAACATTTTTGGTAAAATTCAACCTGGTTTTCATAAAAAGCATTCAATGGAAACTGCTTTGCATAAGGTATCCAGTAACATGGTTGCAGACACAGAAGAAGTTATAGTCTTAGTTTTGTTGGATCTTTCTGCAGCTTTTGACACTGTTGGTCACAGCGCCTTGATTAAGAGACTTTGTGACTCAGTGGAGATCTCTGGAACAGTTCTAGACTGGTTAAGATTGTACCTTTCTAACAGAAGTTCCAGTGTCTGTATAAACCAAATCATGTCAAATTCTATTCTATCTGTTCTTCAGGGTACCCCAAGGCTCTGTTTTGGGTCCACTCCTGTTTTTACCATATTTGCACCCTCTTGAACAGATAATTGATCATTTTGATAACGTCCCCTATCACCTATATGCAGATGAAATTCAGCTGTACTGCTCGTTTAAGGATTCTGAGTTTCATAATCAGCTTAAACTAGAGTGTCTATCAACAATCACTAGCTGACTGGAAGATGACTTCCTTCAGTTAAACTCTGAAAAGACTGAATGTCTGATTGTTACCCATGAGAACCTCTGATCAGTCAACAACTTTGGTCATTTAAATTCTGTCGTCAAGTTCAACTTCAAGAGTCTAAGGAGCTTTGAGAGCTTCAAGAATTTGGGATTTTGTTTTTGACATTGAAGGTAACTCAAAAACATTGGTCCAAAACTGTATTTATCATGTAGGAAATATCTTCCGAGAAGGTTCGTGTCAAAACACAAACGTGAAATGGTTATTCATGCCTTTATCTCCTCCCGTCTAGGTTACTATAACATACTTTTCACACATTTTAACAAAAAAAAGCCCTTGACCACCTGCAGCAAGGCGCGTAACTGGAGCAAACAGAAGAGCATACATGCTGACGTCTCTGCACTGGTTACCCATTAACTTTAGCATTTAGTCTTGACTAGCTCCATGGGCAAGCTCCACTTTATATCACTGAACTGTTGAAGCCTTATGCTCCAACATTATGCTGTAACCTCCAGCTTCAGTTCCATCAACCAGAACCTTCTAGAAGTTCAAAAGAACAGAAATAAAAGTCCAGGGGCCTCATTTATCAAGCTTGCTTACACACAAAACGGGGTCGGAAAACTGCGTAAGCAACTTTCCACGCAAACTTTGGGATTTATGAAAGAAATCTTAGCGGAATAATGTGCTCAACTTTAAGTTGACTAAGGACCTGGCTTACGCACATTTTGGACATGGAGAGCACCTGCAGTGCCGCTGCTGAGAAGGATAAAATTATGAAATCCTGCAGCATTATCACTTGTACTGCTTTGTGCGCACACAGAACAAGACCCCCCACATGCACACACATGCGCGAACACACACACACACACACACACACACAGCCTGAAGCGTAGAATACAGAATGCAGAATATCAGCAGGGGGACAGATTGAGACAGAATGTCATGCGTCTGTGACAGTGTGTGTGTCCTGTCACTGTGACCCGATAGATCATGTGCCCTGGCTACTTCAAGAAAGGAGATCTTGTTTGGCTGACTGGTTGGTGTGCATGACTTTCACCTGGTAGTTTGGGGATTGAATCCCAACTGGACCATTTTTTTTTATATCCGCCACAGATCTCTGAAGAATTCACAACATTGACGGCTTAAGCAACGCTGTGCCACAAGTACCTGAATTTCTGCTTCCGTGAAATTGCGCTTCCTTGATCTGCCTTGATCTATGGTCGCCATGGCATTGGCGCAGCGCTGCAACAGCCAACTTATGTATATGCATGAGTTCCATAAGTCACTTTGCATTGACTATTTATGGCAGTAAGTGGGCGTGGTAAGGGCGGGATGTGACTAAAATGCAGCTGAGAAACATTCCCGTTGGTCTCCAATTTATGAAGTGGAGATTGCGTGCAGCTGTGCGTACTCCATGTTTGATAGATCACAAACCTACTTGGCGTAAGTACTTTTTTTTTGCTGAGCTTAAGTACGGTTTTAGTAAGGATTCTACGCAATGTTTAATAAGTGAGAGCCCAGATGATCGCCCTTTCCAGTCTGTTGCACTTCGACTTTGAAATGAAATTATTGTTATTATGAATTATATTTCCTTTGTACTGACAGTCTGGACGCCTTTTAGAAGCAACTAAAGACCCTTTCATTTAGAATGTCTTTTACTGAAATATTTTGTGGTTTGTTTTATGAACTTTTTTGTTTTAATAATCTTGATTTAGTTTTTGTCTTTTAAATATTTTTTCATTTAGATGTGTTATTCTTTGTGAAGAACTTTGGGATTTTTGTCTGTGATATGTGCTATATAAACAAACAACTTGCTTGCATGCTTGCTTACTTGCTTACTTACTTACTTACTTACTTACTTACTTACTTGTTTGCTTACTTATTGACAACACATTGAGATATTTCTTTTCCAAATCATGGAAATAAGAATAGGGAGAAAATGCAGAGCACAGATAAAGAGCAGTTTTAACTAATCCAGAGTGCACCCTAAAGTTATTTAACAGAAGTTCAAATCATAAGTGCCAATAAACTATGACAAAGGGCTAAAAATGTTGACAAAATATATTTGCAATAAATAATGTGTATTTACTTTTCTCTTAAAAAGATCCATCTTAAAAATTGTGCAAGATTCAGCATGCTGAATGGAATGCTGAGTCCAGTGTTTTAAGTAAGAAAAATGAAGTATTAACAATGTCACCATAGTAAACTCATAGAGAAATAAACATTGCTTTAATGAAGAAAATAGTTACATGATTATTTGGTGTGCAACAACATGGCTCATCTTATTATTATATGCCATTCAATTCAAATCAGCACTTTTTATTGCTATTTTGAAGTCTGACCTTTACTCCTTACCTTGCTGATGATGAGTTGGTCCTTCCCTGGTTGGGAGTGTGAGAGGCTCAATGTCTGGCATTGCTCAGGCTCATTCAGGTGGGCCTAACTGGGCTGCAAACGTCCTGCAGGGAAGCAAAACAAACCTGCGTTACATTTTATATTAAACATCATCATGCTGTTAGAAGATAATGAATAAAATTTCAAGTTTATGGGGTAAAAAGTCAGAGAATGGGGTAAACTCACATGAAACTCCTTCACTCATCTCCGGTTAACTGAGCTAACGTGAAGTTTAATTAACTAAGCTGATTCAATATTAATAAGCTGGGGGGGTCGTTGTCATGGGAGAAAGTGAAAGCCAAAAATAAATAAATAAATAAAACTGTGGTGTCAGCTTACCTAACTTAGACTTTTCCTGTCAGTTCTGCTCCTTGATGTCTTGAAATAACTGCTCCTCCAGAAAGTTGTTCTTTTATCTTTTATCAAAGTTTTTTTCCCAAAACGAATCACCTGAAGTATCTGTCAATCTTCCTGTGAGGGGTTGCTTAGCAATAAGGGGTGCTGCGCTTGAAAAGAGTGAGTTGCGTTCAAGAGCAGTTCAACGTCACTGATGCATTTCCAACTCGTTTAATGTGAAGCAAGGCACATTTTGTGGTTAATAAATATGGATAAGGTCAGATATGAGCAGAGGCAGATGCATGAATAAAATATGCAGACAATCTGAGAGAATTTACCAGCCAGTTCAGACATTTTCAAATATAGACATGTAGAAAATTGATTAAAAAACGTTAATAGATGCGTTATTGTACTAAATGCTTCCAAATAAAGTAAATTTATATTTTTCTCTGATCAAAATCTCTGAGCTTCTCAATTGAATGCACATGTGGAAATAGCATAAATTAAAGTTTTAAACATTAAAACTTTTCAGATTGTTTCATTCTAATGAGGATTTTTGTGTTTTTGATTTATTGTGTTTATTAGCTGATGACTTGTAAAAATATTTTAAAATCGATAGCACCGGTCACATTATATTATATGTGTCACATGACTATTTATAAAATAAAGGAATTGCAACCTTTTGCTTTTCCAAGTTCATGTTATCTTTAAACAGAGCAAACCTCAGAATACCGATCAAGCAATAAACCTCTTTAGAAATAATAATTTAAGTCAATAAAAATTGTATGTAAAATAAATAAGATTTCAAATACCATAAAAAATTAAAACACTACAAATAAAAACAAAGTCAAACTTCATAAAATATTTTCTAAAAAGTTAATTACTAAAAAAAATAAGAATTTGCGGATTGTTGTTTTCTTTGAATAGTTTTATTTTTTATTTTTTTATTTGTTACCACGATAACACTGGTAAACACGAGTTAATTATGCATGCAGTTTGGGGCTGAATTTGCAGATATGCATGTGTAATTCATCTCCCTGACACCAGGTATTCTGTTCTTTTGTGCATCTTTCTTGAACACTGTGCAACCTCTCTGGCGCATGTGAAGAGATTCCGCATTACGTCATCGGGGAGGCCACATAGTGGAGGCAGCCGCTGCCTTGTTCTGCTCAGCCGAAGCGCCGCTCGAAAAAAAATCTGCACCACAGAAGCTTTAACAAGAGCGGCGCGAGAAGCGGTCGCTCCGTGCAGGAATGCAGCATCCGACACGAAAGAAACCGTGATCGCACCGCGGGACGCGACGGATTCCTGACAGGAAAGCAGTCGTGTTGCATGACATGCCTCGAAATAAATTCTGGTAAGTCTTGTGTGCAAGTGCGCTGCTGCAGCAGCAGCTGCTGGAGGCTGGCAGGCAGTAAAGGAGCGACCTCAGTCTACTTTGTCACTGAGTTCTCAAGTTAAATTAGAGCGTTGTTGGATTTGTTGCGTAAATTGCGCGTAAAAGGCTCCCGCGTGCCAATCTCACGACCTCACAGGTGTTTCCTATTGCGTGACAGGTGCTGCTTGATTAGAGACTGGTCCATAAGGTGCCTGTTGCAGCTCCTGCTGCTACAAAATGCATCATGTTGGATGTTAGTCACGTTTTCTCACGGAACATGACTCAGACTATTTACAGCGCTTAAACCTCTTTTCAAGCTTGTGATTGAAATGCACATGAGCATGTATCATTTCACACAGTTGGACAGGAAAACACGTTTGTGTATTCTGTCACCAGTTTCTCCTGTTGGAATATCTTTTTCCTGTTCAATGTTGTAAACTAAATCTCAGCCATAAAATTGCAGCTGCTCTCGGGGTCCCAGAATTTTTGCTCTTTTGCAGTGGAAACCGTGGTGATCATCAGAGGGCCCTTCATCCACCTCCATCACTGGCTGGTGTTAAGCAGCAGGAGAAGCCTTGTCTCTGCAAAGCTCTGCTGCGACTGAACCTTAAGTTTGCTGTGCAGCTTCTTTATTCCTGTCAGGAGACGGGATTTGGATGCCAGTGTACTTTACAGTCTCGTGATGTAAAAATAACTCCACACAAACCCTAACAGCTGCGGGGGAACTGTCTCTAAACTATACTAGGTGAACCGGATCAAGCCAGTAAAGTTGCCACAGTGTTTAAATACCCTAAATCAAACCAAAATGCATGAGTAGCACATTTGTGAGTGCCAGTGCCAGTTCTTCTGGACTCACAATGGCTGAAATGACATGATATGCTCTTTTAAGGACACTTCAGATCCTTGCTGTGGCAACTAGTGCCACAGAGAAAGAGTAATGTTTGCTGGGCGTGTGCCAGGAATGAGGTTTGGTGTCCAGAGCGAGCCAGTAAAGCAGTTCAAGAATGTGAGTTCTTCTCATTTGTAGTTAAAGATAGAGGCAGAAAAGACTGGATCCTGCAGCATCTAACTTCAGATTATCTCAGTTCTGGTGCTTTTTAAAAGGTTGTTGATTTGTGGACATTTGTTAGTGGAAGGAGTAGACGAGCTTGGGCAAGGAAAACAAAAGCAGCCATGGTGCTTTATAAAAGGTATGCTGATCATCGTTTTCCTCTTCTCTGATATGCAGGTTGGTTTATAATCTCCTCCTTCCAGATTGCATCAGTCTCAGTCATTTCCAAGGCTGAAAACGGATCAGTGAAGGCCATAGCTGGCATTTAAGATGTGTTTGCTTGTGATGTGGGAGAGGATATCAGTGTTAATCTGTAAGAATGTGTGTATCTCCTCTGCCTCGGATTCATAGACCTGGATGTCTGTAGGACTGGCTGCATGTACAGCTCAGATTATGTTTGTGAACCACATTTATCCTCTCCGAGATGACATGCAAATTTATAAATTGTGTCGTGGGCGTTTGCAAAAATAAAAACAGCTGATTTTTCTTTGTTTTAACCGTTATTTATTGTGCTGCAGTCGTGATTATCAGTTCTAGCTTGATTTTAATCCTTTTTTGAACGAGTTCCAAAGATTTCCAGCAAAATAACTTAATGTCTGCTGGTAAGTTTAATAAAATAGACAAATGAAGGAAAAAAACACTTGTTTGATTTTAAACATGTTGATTATTTTGTGTATGTACAGCACATATTTGCGTCTACCTGTTGCATAACAAAGTGAACAAATGATGTCTGCAGAAATAAATGTTTGGTATACTTTACAGTAAGGGTCCCTTAATTAACATTACTTAGTGTGTTATTAGGAATTAATAAACTATTTAAGTATAAACAACTGCTTAACCATATTATGTATTGTATTGTACATAATAGTTAATAATAAAGGGAATGGATCCTGTGTTTATTAATGCTTAATAATGCACTAAGTCACTTAATAAGGGACCCTTATTGTAAAGTGTTACCAAGTATTTTTGAGTGACTATCCTAAAAATGATTCATTTTTTAAAAAGTGCAAACCAAGATGTTTAATTTTAGAAAAGTTATTTTCTGTTGCAAAAACTTTTCAGCAAATTTTTTTCTCTGTGTGTGTGTGTGTGTGTGTGTGTGTGTGTGTGTGTGTGTGTGTTTTCTCAAACATAGCAACTGGGATCTGTGCTGCCATGGCAACAAACCACATGACTAGGTGTATTAGATTGCCTTGAACAGTGTGCAATGAGGCATGGTGTGAGCATTCTCTCTGCCACTCTGCCCCTTTCAAAATCTTCTTCACGTCAAACTTAAATTGTTTCAAACTTTTCTGATGAGCTGCGATTAAAGCAGATGCCCATAAAATGCTTTAAGTGTGAGCTCGGTGAGTGACCTCCAGTGGGGCACTAGGGAAAAGTGAGCTGTGGACTTTTTTCTAAACTTTCTGTTAAAGTGTCACTTCAGCTACTTTTTCTCATCATGAGACTTTCCTGGATTTGGCCAAAGATTTCTTCTTTCCTAAACATCAGTGACTAGTTTGATCTGTTAGCCTTTTCTGTATGTAAACAACATCATTCCCTTTAGCTGACTGCTAGCAGTTTGTTGAGGAAATTCGACTCCTGGTTCTGACATTTTTGTAGCCTCTGCAACAAATATGAAAACTTAAATGTAAAGGTGCCAAAATTTAAATAGAAACTTCACAACATGGTTTTATTTTTAGCATCCATGGCTAGCTTGGAGGAGGAGTTGTGCATGAAAGGTCCTCTAGATCTGAAAAGTGAAGCCAAAAGAGTTCCTTAATGTCATACGAACCAGTTTTTCATATTTTTTTATCATTTTCTTGAGCCAGTTTGTGCTAAAATGACCCTTTACAGGGTTAATGAAAAGCCTATCAGCCCTCTTTGCCCCTTGTGTGCAGGATTCCCTCTTTGCAACTTCAGCCTGTCCAGACCGCTGCCCTGAAGTCACACAAAGTCACGCTTCATGGCAATCCATGTTTACGCCTCAGAACAGATGAGTTATACCTGGTTAGCATTTATGTGTCATTCTGGAGCCTCAGCAGAAACAAAGAAATCATTTATCTGATGAAGCTTAACAAATAAAACTAATGTCCCACCACAATAAGAGTCAACCTCGAGAGTTTTCTGAATCGCGAGCGCTCAGAGGTATGATTCCTGCACGTTTTAGATCGTGAACACATCCGAATTGTTTGATTTAATGATGAACCGCTCCTGTAGAAACTAATGAACGCTGAGGAGACATTTCAACTGTTAGATTAAGGTGTTAAAAAGATGAATGCACAGCAAAGAGGATAGTTTCAGTTTTGTTTTTACAACTGTGAATTAAAACGGACACTAGAGGGTGCTATAAGTGAGCCAACGCTGCAAAGTTTCCCTTTAAAAGCAGAATTAATGAGTACCAGGGGAAGCTCTAAGCACAAACTTACAAATAAAGCAGGTTTTCTACATTTAATCCAAGCTGAAACTATTTAAAGTTTACATTTGGGGTAATAGTTGAGTATTTTGTAAGATTAAATTTTTAAACAAGCAATAAATAAGAATTGAAACAATCATAAAACAGTCTAAAGGGTTACATTGAAACACTTTCCTTCTCAGCTGGTTTTCTCATTTTAAAACAGCTCAAATGGGACTTGATCGTTGTTTACTATCTGTCCTGCCTTACTTCCTGATTTTGTAGCCAATCATCAAGAGCCTGTGGGGTTGCCAAGTCTGCGCTGGCATTTGTAATTTGACACCAGCCAGCAAAGAGCAGCAGAGATGTGGAAAGTGTGGAAGCCAGTAAAGACAGTTCGGCAAAATAAAAGTAAAACATCCTTTTTGTTTCACTTTAATATCAGTTAAAGAAGCTGATGCTGAGTTAAGAATGCTAATGGTGAAACTACTTTTTCAATTGCCAGTAACCCATAAGTTTGCAGTAAAATGCATGTACCTACTTATGAATCAGCCGTGTATGATTCATCTTTACTGGTCATCTAGAATCTTCTGGTGCTGATCCACAACAAACAGTTTCTGCTAGCTGACTTATGGGCTGTGTTTCCACTAACGGAGCTCCAGTGTATATTTACGGGAACCTCCCAACATGCATGTCTCCACTTGACTGGGCCGGCCGAGCTGCCATGTTCCAGACCATTTTCAGGAACTTTCTGAGTACCTGATCAGGGGTGGGTACTCTGAATTGCCCGGTAGAGTAGCTGAGCGGAACCCTTGCTTAACTCACGCTGCTTGGTTGTAAGTCAGCAGGAACTGACTTCAGCAAACGTCTTCCAAAACAACTGGCATTAGTAAAATTAGAAAAGTTGCTGGTGAAGCAGAATAGAAGCAAAGAAAAATTAAAGCTGCAAGCAGTGTCGTTCGGCCCCTCGCAGCGAAGCTGCTCACCCTCCGTCCGCACCCCCTCTACTCCATCCCCGACGCTCTTCCAACCCATCGCCCTGCAACAGGTCAGCTGTCACCTCAATCTGACTCAACCTTTCCTCCTAGCCTGCCAACAGTCGCCACTAAAAATATTTTACATTAGCAAAATGTTCCAGCTTCGAAAGAAACTCTGTAACGTTATTGGAACAAAATGGCCGACTTCCTGTGAGATATGGAGCATGGCTCCATGAGACTTCTTTGTAGGCCCAGGCACATAAGTGTGCAAAATTTCACAATCCTCAGTCAAAGCATGACTTGAGGCTAATAGTTTTAATGGTCGTAGGGGGTGCTATTTCAGAAAAAAGGCCACGCCCACTAGCTTATGACATCTATTTATATTGGGGGTCAGACTAGAATCACTCACCAGAAATCTTTTGGTGATATCGTGAGAACTGAGAAAATGAGAAGCAAACGTATTTCCATGGCATGATGGTGAATTTCGCCATGCTTCCAGGGTCCTGCCCTTTTCTGAAACCTGCCAGTACTGGACACAAGTGACCCCAACATGTCTACTGCTGTTTGCCAGAGATTCATGTTGATTAGGTTAAAAGAGTCAATTTGGGAGCATTGACAGTAAAGCATGGTGTGGTGACAGGTCAGAGTTTGAGGCCTAGCCATGCCCACACCGTTAGACTTTTGGTAAATCCGTAGGTTCAGTTTTTCCCGCTTGGTCTTAAGAGTTTTCAGCAGAAGTATGAAGGCGATGGGGGCAAAGGGCACTTGGGGATTGACGTACCTTTAAGGTGTGCAAAAAACACAAAATGGCATACTTGGACCAAAATGGTCGACTTCCTGTGGGATGTTGAACATGGCTTCAAGAGAGTTTTTTTTTTTGTTTTTTTGTGCGTCCTGAGACACTACTTAAGTGTACAAAATTTCATAATCCTCAGTCAAAGCATGGCTTGGGGCTGACACTTTTAAGGGTGCTAGGGGGTGCTATTTCAAAAATTGGCCATGCCTACCGACTTTTGATTTCAAGTTTTATTGTAGATCATACTAGGATCACTCATCAGAAATTTCGTGGCGATAGCTTTAGAATTGACTAAATGAGAGGCAATCTTATGGCCATGGCATTACGCCTGACTTCGCCGCACCATCACAGCCACGCTGTCTTTTGAAAGCTCCCATAAAGTGAGGGCTAGCAACCCCAACTTGTCTTCAGTTATCTGCTACAAGTTTGTGGTGATTATACGAAATGGTGAATTTTGGGAAATTTCACAGTAAAACTTGACCTTTTGAAGTTAAAGTCAAAGTTAAAGTCCCATTAGTTGTCACACACAGGCGTGTGTGCGAAATTTGTTCTCCGCATTTGACCCATCCCCTGGGGGAGCGGTGAGCTGCAGACACAGCTGCGCTCGGGAACTATTTGGTGGTTTAACCCCCCAATCCAACCCCTTAATGCTGAGTGTCAAGAAGGGAGGCATTGGGTCCCATTTTTTCAAAGTCTTTGGTATGACCCGACCAGGAATCGAACCCCTGATCTCCCAGTCTCAGGGCGGACACTCTACCACTAGGCCACTGAAGGGGCGGTGCTTGTGTGACATCATCAATTGACCATTAATTTTTCTTTGGGGGCCAATGAGGAATGTCCACAAACAAGTTTTTTAACTGTAATTCTTTCATTAATGAAACTATAGTCATTTGAATTTTTTTGGCGAGTGCTCGAACTTCTAGGCCTGGCCCCGCCCCTTCATTATTTATAAAAATTCAGTTTTGATTTCTCATTCAAATTGTCCATCCCTT